CAGTGAGAACCCCAGGGGGAGGGGACCTAGGAGCGAGAGGCATAGCGGCTATGGACAGGCCCGGACCCCAAGCTCTGTTCCTGAAATGCCTCCTCCCCTCTCACTCCTTCCACTCCATAGCCTGAGGGTACGCTCTGGCACCTGCAGGAAATGAGGCGATTTGCTGATTGCAGTCGTAAAGTGGAGCCACCAGTTTTTCCCAAAGATGCATTCTTTCTTAAGCAGGTAATCGAATTCCAACAAGATACTCAGACTTCCAATGGGGCCACTTATGTGGAGCTGGACGAGACGCCATTAATCCACTGCCAAAGACGTTCCTCTCCCTGGCCCTTTTGGATCGGGGGTGTGGTGTTGTGGAGAAACGGGCACAGGAGATGCAGCAACAGAGGGGGGTCCCACCGGAGAGGCCCCTCACAAGTGGAGGAAACAGCCCATGGTGTGAGGGGCCAGAGGAGCTGTCCTTGCTCAGCCTGACCTGTGATTTAGACCTGTCCCAGTCCGTGGCCACATGTCCATCTCCCGGTCTGTAACGGGAATCAATGGTCTGGAATGTTCTTTCTGGATTGTATACTTTCAGAAGCAGAATGTCAGATCATGGCATAGGCTGTGTAGGAAATGAAGAGACTTTGGTGGGGTCCCCACTTCACTCTCCTGGGAACCTTGGTGGGTGCTGTGGGTTGAATTGTGTCCTGCAAAAAATAAATGAATGAATGAACACTGGAGCCTTAAGGAGTAGTAGAAGGTGTGGAGCTTGGGTCTCCACAGAGGTAATGGACTTAAAATGAGGGTACAAAGGTGGGCCCTCATACAGTCTGACTGGTGTCCTTATCAAAAGGAGAGACGTGAACCCAAAGAAGACATCTGTCCAGAGGGATGACAGTGCGGAGGCGCGGGGAGAAGATGGCCTTCCACAGCCAAGGAGAGCGGTTCCTGAAGCAGCCGCCCTGCCTCCCCTTTACCTCAGACTTGCAGCCTCCAGAGCCGCGAGGCTGTATGTACATTTCTGTTGTTCCAGTCCCCGCTCTGCGGCGCCTCGTTACACTGATACCAGAGACTCCATCTCCCTGGTTCCTCATTCGTAACCATGGGAACAGCGACACCTGCCCTGCAGGGTTGTTTTGGGAATCTGGTGAGAGTGTCCATCTCAGGCGCTGGCGTGGCCCTTGCGTCCAGGAAGCCCGCATCGTGGCAGTGGCTTCATCCTGTGCCCTGACCTCTCAGCTCTACTGGTGGGGTCTGCAGACGGCGCCGCCACAGAAGAGGCTCAAGTCAGATCTTTCGGAGAGAACTGGGTCACCCCAGGCGCCCCTTCAGAAGCCTCTCTAAATATGGAGGAGTCCGGAGAAATCACTTTTAATGCAGCGCTTAATGGTTTTTAGTCAGAGAGTGGCCTCGGCCCTAATTGACAAGCCTCCGAAGCTGAGGTTTCATTATTTTGATGTCCTGGGTACACTGAGTATGTGGAGCTGCGATGCTGATCGATAAGTCCGGTGGTCAGGGCCACTTTGTGGGTGCTTGTGAAGAAGGTGGCACAGTTGTTATGGGGAGGACACTCGCTGCGTGACCCTAAGCAAATCCAGTCTCCACTCAGCCTCAGTTTCCATATCTGCAAAGCAAAAGTACATTGTAAATTTCACGCCCACACAGTGCGTTTGGCAAAACTGTCTATGGCTCGTCTCTGTTTCTTGAATAAGCGTCTTAACTCTCAATGACTCCTGGACAGCCTCCTAGGGCTGCTAATTCTTGGCTGGTCTTGATTCTGGAACTCTGATTAAAGTTGTTTCTAAGCCTCAAAAAGCAAATCCTGCAGAGGTGGCGCTCTTACGATTATGGGGGGGATCAGTGATATAGAAAAAGGCTCCCACCCCCCGCCCCTCACACACAGAGCTTATTGCTGAAGGCTTTGCCAGTCAGGGAGGCTCTTGCTCCCCAGCACCCTGTGTGTTAACTTTAGGCTGCCCCTCCTGCTCCACAGACCTTTGTCAGTGGTATTTCAGGGGTGCCTCCGACATCCTGCTGCCCACCCTGTCCTGGAAGCTAGATTGGCCTAACTCATCTGCCAGCATCTGTGCCAGCTCCACCCCATCCTACTTGGAATAAAACCCAAGCCCTGGGCCTCCCTGGTGGCGCAAGGGATTAAGCACTGCACTGTGAAACAGTTCACAGCCTCTGCAGCACGAGTTCGATCCCTGGCCAGGGAGAAACCCACAGGGCGCAGCAGACCTCTCTCGCCCGCTGCTCCCCTCAGCAGTGTGTTTTGATCAATCTGCCTGTTCTGTTCCCCACTCTGTCTCTGGTGAATCCTCTCCCCCCCTGCATCTCTGGCCTGTGCCCCAGCTCTTGTATGCATAAATAAATCTTTAAAAAAAGAAAACAAAAACCCAAACCCTTACACTCCGACGGGCTTCTGAGCCTCCAACCCACAGGTCTTCTGTTGTTGTCTCCTGCGCTAGGCTTGATCCACACTTGGGTTTTACCTTTGCTGGGCCCTCTGCCTGGAACATTCTTTCCGACGTCTTCCACTGCCTGACTCTTCCTCCAAGTCTCCACTCAGATGTCAGCTCCTCCAGGAAGCCTCTCCTGACCCCCCATCTAAGATAGACCTCCCTTCCTCTGGGATTCTCCGTCAGAGCCCTGCTTTGTTTCCTTCATTGCACCGACACCATCTATAATGAAATGTTTATGTGTTTTCTTCCTGAGATGTCAACTCATGAGGTAAAGACAGAGTCTTGTGTGTCACAGTACCTGGCTCGCAGCAGTGTTTAACAAACGGCACACACCCGCTGCCGTGGCTAAAATTAAAGCGACTGACAATACCAAGTGCTGCCAGGGCTGTGGAACAGTCACCCTCTCCTACAGGTGCAGGAGTGGACAGGGGCACAGCAAACCTACCACCCCATGTCCATGGGCCCACAGCAAGGGTGGGCAAAGAAGGCCCCAGGAGGTGCTGAACACCCCGAGTGCTCCCTTTTCAGTGACAGTGGAGGGTGCCGACTACCAGTAGGGGGTTTGGGGGGTGGGAAGTAGAGAACAGTCAGGGAACGGGCCTCATGGGGGACAAGGTTACCTTGGGGTCCCAGAGCTTCAAACAGTGCCTGTGTCCCTGTCCTCCTGATTCCCCCACTATGTCCAGCTGTTCTCTTGGAGTCAGTGTTAAGATCTTAGGTATTACTTTCATGATTATTTGTTCAAGGTCACGCCTCCCTCTCCCACTAGCGGTAAGCGCCAGGAGGACAGGGGTTTTGCCTGTTTCACCCCCACACCCAGCTGTAGCCCAACACCCAACACAGTGCCCGGCAGGGTGACACAGACTGGGTAGTCATGCTAAATGAATATGTGAGGGTTGGAGCAAGACCAGGCAGTGGAGGGAGGGTCAGGGTGGTTGGGGGTGTCCCTGTGGATGGGCCGAGAGCAGCAGACCAGCCACTTACAAGAACCTGGCCTGGGCCTGCCCGTGCAGGCAGGATCCTTGCAAAACACCAATTAAGACATTTGACCCAAATTCGGATAAAAGCCTTTTTCCTGTGTCAAGTTGAGCTAATAATACGCATTTATTCATAATTTATGAGGCCTAGTAAGTGGGAACAATTAAGGAAAAGGTCTGGGCAAAACCCATCTTTCTTGTGTCACCTAAGCCTTTGTCAGGTGATTCCACCCCTCTCTGCCGGCTTATTAGCAGTATTGGTATTAGTATCAGTATTTTTCTTGCTAGTACTGTTAGCTGTGATTTATTGAACTCTTACCAGGCCAGGACATAAACTTGCCTCATTTAATTTTTACTGTATGAGGCAGGTATTCAATTCTAGAGATGAGGCAGTTGAACTTCAGAGAGGTGGATGGACTTGCTTGAGGTTGCCCAGCTGGGGAGTGGGGGTTCGGCATCAGGGCTGAGCAGGCCCACCCCCTTGACCTCTGTGGAGTTTGTTCCCATGCCTCCAGCTCAGGCTGTTCCTGAGTCTGCATAGCAGCCCTCCTTAATTGTGCTGACTTAGAGTCAGCACAGGGCAACTTAGATCTGGAGACTATGGTGTACAAGTGGCCACCTTCTGATTCAGCGGGTCCAGGTTAGACCTGAGGAATCTGCATTATTTTTTAGCACCTTCCCCTGTGAGCCTGAAGCTGCTTGTCCCAGGACCATGCTCCGAGAAGTGAAGGTTCAAACCGTGCTGTTCGCAGAGTCCCTCAAGTCTCCCCTCCACCCCACCTGTCACTGTCAGGCTGTGTGTGGCCTTCTAGGCCTTTCCCTGTTTATTTCCATACGTGTTAACATGTGTGGAGCAACATGTGACTCAGTTTTGTCTCCTCTTCACACATGTGGGATAATTACCTACCTGCTGATAGTCTGCCTTTTATAATGTTTTATTTAACATGCCTTGGAGAACGTATACATCTGTCTCCTTCTTTTTAATGGTGTTGAATACCCCATGATACAAGTGACTCTAGTTTTATTTCCCTCTTGTTCATTGATGGGTAGTCTTCCACATTTTAGACTTTACAAACATCCCTATAAAATCCGTGGGAACCTGGGTGTCTTCCAGAACATCAATCAATAATGTCAACCATTATTGTTGCTGTTTATTGTTATTTTATTATTAATATCAGGGGATTGTTGCCTTCTAGAAATCCCCTTTCAGTTGAAGGCTGTGAGGTAAAAGGATAACTCTCTATTTGCAAGGCTAATGAAATTTTCAACAAAACAGTGCTCTAAGAGAACAGAGATGTGCTATGTGGGCAGGGCTTTGAGGAATGAGTAGGAGAGCAGAGGTGCAGCCGGGAGAGCGGTGGGCAGGGAATCCGTATTGCCAGGGCCTGGCTTAGCTCTGGTAGATCCCACAGTTGCAAGAGGGTGAGGCAGATCTTTATATTTCTTGGTCACCTGGTGAGATCAGGCCTTGGCCAAGGGCAACCGAGCATCCAGGTGGGCAACAACATGAGTAAGAAGGACCCTCAGGTCCAGCCAAGCTCAGCTCTGACCCACCTCCTTCTTTCTTGTATTTTAGGGCGGGGTGCCCGGGGAGGAGCAACTCTATGCCGATTTTCCGGAGCTTGATCTCTCCCAGCTGGACGCCAGCGACTTTGACTCGGCCACCTGCTTTGGGGAGCTGCAGTGGTGCCCAGAGAACTCCGAGATTGAACCCTGCCAGTATGGCCCCGATGACTCGGAACTCTTCGAGGTATGTCTTCCTGTGCCTGCCTCCCTGTGCCGCTCCCTGTTCCTGAAGCCTGGCTCTGCTTCTCGCCGCCTGGTCTGCACAGCTACATAGTCTCCTCGCCCTCCAAACCTCCTGGACCCTGTCATTGTCCGGGATCTACACTTGACCTGAGGCTGCTCTCTGTGACTCCAGGCACACTCCGAGTCCCACTGTGGGTCAGGTGGGCTCCCCAGTATTATCACACTGAGTCCTCATCTCCATTTTACAGATGAGGAAACTGAGCCTTGGAGGACTTCAGTCATGGGCCTAGGGCATTTTACCTATTCTGTAATGGAATGCATTCAACCCCAGTCCGCCTGCCTCCCTGGGGGGCCTTATAACCATGGCAACACTGTGCCAGGGTCCACTCACACTCATACAGTAACCCCTCTGTGGCAGAGCTGTCCCTGTTCGTACCTAATAACTCATTTAATTCTCTTAACTCTCAGACATGAGTATAGTTAGCTCCGTTTTCAGTTGGAGTCTAGAGGTTCTCTGGGAGGAGGCTGTGCCAGGAACTGCTGTGCGTATCCATGCCAATAGCACCCTGTGTGTGCCCACGCCCAGCCTTGGGGGCCCCCTAATATGGGATAATATGTCTGGGATTGGATTCCAAATAAAGCAAGCTCCACATGCACTTGCTGTGTGGATGTGGGCGTGCAGCATGGAGGGTCAGGGATGAAATAAGATTGGTCAGGTTGAAAGAGGATGGTGGGCACGTTTGGATTCATTATTCTTTCCTTGAAATATGCTCCCCCGTCAAGATGGCTGTGCCTGTCTGGCGTTATCATAATGACATAACAACAACACTGCGTGTGCCAAGTGCCGTCAGCGTCACCACCAACGGTCCTGGTAGATTTCATCCTTCCTTCCCGAATGTTCGCGGAGCCCCCTCTATGTGTCAGGCACTGTGTTCATCCAGGGACTCTATAGTCTGACCCTGGATCGGCAAACAGGCAGACACAAAAGCAGAACAACCGATGGCTGAGCTGGAGGCAGCCACTAGCAGCTCAGTGAGCAGGGGCGGAGCTTCCCAGCAGGGGTAGCAGTGTGCACAGAGCCAGGAGGCGGGAAGGCCTCTGTGCTGGGGAGCAGCAAGGCTGGAGGGTTGGCGCTAAGGGGCCAGTGCTAGGAGACACAGTTGAGAGGCAGGCTAGGACCTGATCATGCAGGGTCTTGTGGGCCATGGTGAGGAGCTTAGATTTTCCCCATGACTATTCTAACCTGTAAGTAGAAGACTATTATACCAGGTGAAGAAAGTGAAGCTCAGAGAGGGTAAGTAACTTGCCCCAAATCACGCAGCCAGCAAGGGCCAGGGTAAAGACTGTAATTGAGGGAACCCATCAGTGGCTATCCATCTGTGTAGCCTTCACAGCTACACAGTCCTTCTGCAAACTTTGCAGGCTCACTGGGGCTGGGCCCTGGTTCTGGCTCTATGTGGGGGCCACCGTTCTGTCTAAACAGTGGGGGTGAGACCTACGCCATGCTGCTCCCTCCCTCAGAGGAGCAACTCCCAGAAAATGCTCACAGGTTGTAGAGAACTGACAAATGTGAGAGGGGTATAAATGCTGTGTACAAACCACCCACCCTTGGATGGCACAGGCCCTCTGCTGCTCAGAGACTAGCTGGACCACCGGCAAGCCAGCCCCGCGAGGTCCCTGGACTCCCAGCCTAGGGAGGGAGGCAGGCTCCTCACAGCTGACAGTGGCAAAACACAGCCCACCAGCCCCTCCCCTGCAGGCCTGCACTCCCATCTGCTCTCCCGAGGCAAGGCCAGCCCCACCTTTGACACACCCGTACACCTTCCCATACTTGTAACGGTGTGCCCAGTGGGGACCCCAGGAGCATGGGGGTCGTGGCAGCATTATGCATTGATCTGTTTCCTGGACTCTGTAGAGCCCAGATCTTTCTCCCGGCTCAATGCACATCAAATGAACCAAGCCCTTTTATGCCCACCTCTCACGCCGGCTCCTCCTAAGGCTCTGGTTGGTGACTTCCTGTCCTGGGCTCCCACCTGTGTTCGTGCGTGTGTCCACGCGTGTCCTTCAGACTGGGAGCTATTTCCCCTATGGGGCCCTCACATGTTGCCGAGACTCTGGTCGTGAGCGGGTAATGAGGGAACCGATTGTAACATAGTGTGTCCCTCACCCCATCCACGGCTTCGGGATTTCAGCCCCCTGTGGTCTGAAAATATGCCATACAATAAGATATTTTGAGAAAGAAAGACTGATTCTTATAATCTTACCACAGTATATTGTTCTACTTTATCATTGCTACTATTAATGCCTTAGTGATTTTATAAATTAAACTTTATCAAAGGTGTGTGTGTGTGTAGGGACAGACATTTGTATGGGGTTCTGCACTAGCTGCAGTTTCAGGCATCTGCCTGGAATGTGCCCTCATGGTTAAGGGGACAACTGTGTTTTCCTTCCCTCCAAGGACCAGCCCGTTTCAAAAGCCCCAAGTCAGGGCTCCAGGGCTGCGAGTTTGAATCTCCCCTCTGTGCTAGTTCAGTCAGTTTCCACCCTTGATGACTACGGGGAGGGGGGTCAGCACCAGCTCCCCACAGTCCAGCCTTATCCTAGTCAGGGGTGTCTCTGCTCTGGAAACAGACCAGAACATGGAGCGCAAGCTGCCGTCTCAGGCTGACAGCCTGCCGAGGCCCTTGCCGGGCCACAGTAGGCACCGGCTGTTTTTGGAGGGAGTAGGTCATGTTTCTCCTGTCACATGTGGTGTAGCTGCCGCAAGTGGCTCTCTTGGGCTGGGCCTCAGTTTCCCTGAGTGAGGAGTGAGGACATGGATTACATTGTGGTTCTTACTCTGCAGAGGCGAGAATCACTGTCTTTTTAGATTTTTTTTTTTAAGATTTTATTTATTTTTATACAAGAGCTGGGGTACAGGCCAGAGGTGTGGGGGTGAGAGGATTCACCAGAGACAGAGTGGGGAACAGAACAGGCAGATGACCGAAATACACTGCGGAGGGGAGCAGCCGGCGAGACAGGAGAGTGTCGACCCCATGTGGGAATCTCCCTGGCCGGCCAGGAATCGAACCCGTGCTGCAGAGACTGTGGACATCCTCACAGTGCTGCACTCAACCCGCTGCGCCACCCGGGAGATCCTGTCCTTTTAGATTCTAATGGAATCTCTGGACCTCCTCCCAGGAAAGATGGGGGGCGGGGGACGGGGGTGGAGACTGAGTTCCTGGGTTTCCCACACCTCAATTAACCTCCCTGGACAGCGGAGGATTCTGAGTGTTCTTCCCATCCTGATAGCCTAATCCTGTTCTATGTCATTCCTTCAAGCCACTCGCGCCTCCCAAAATGAATCATTTTCTCTTGGATTTCTTGAAGACTTCTTTTCCTCCAGCTTGAGATCTGCTCAGGAAGGTTGGGGGTGGAGCTGTGTCTATTAATATCCCTTCCTCAGCTGATTAACTCTCCATTAATTTGCACTCCGTTTCCAAGCGGAGCAGGGAGAACTGAGCTAATGTGCCCGGGAAAAGGAGAGGGGTGATGTATTATCCAGGGTGCGGATGGGATGATACTGTAGTTAGGAACTGCTTTTCTCCCCAGCTGGCTGAGGGCCTCCAACCCTACCTGGATTGAGGCCTCCAACCCCACCTGTTTGGAGCCTCCAGCCACACCTGGTTGTCCCGAGTTAGAGAAGGCCTTTCATTGTCATTTTGTTTTGCTCAACCTGTTGGGTGCTTCTTGAGGTCTCCAAGAATGTGTATTTGTGCCAGCACCTTGCCTGGGGCCCAGGGAGTCCTTGACTCTTGCCTTCCTAACCCCCATCCCCACCCCTCACAAGTATCTGTCCCCACTCTAGAAAAAATGGCCAATAGGCTTCCTGTGGCGTGCTGGCAGCTGTCGATGGAAGACAGTGTTAAGGAAGATGCTGGTGTGGAAGGAGTAGTGCCACTACTGGTAGCAACATGGGGGAGCCCCAGTACGTAACCACATGTTTGACACGGTGTCACTCTGTGTTCCCCAAGGTCCTTCCAGCTCTGCTATTTGCAATACTTTGTAGTGTGTCAGGCCATCCCTATGTGCCCTGTGAAGAGGGAGTTCTCATTCCATCTACTGCTGATGACATCATTTCTGAATGACTCCCTGTAGAAGCTGTTCTGAAACACCAATCTCAGTCCCTCCCTGGTGGCCAGAGGTCAATGTCTGCTCAGTCATTCTTCCACTCAGCAAATCTGCCTTCACTCATGCCCGTGACACTGAGTTAGGCACAGGAGAACCCTACAAAGTAATTGCAGACCTGGCCTTCCCAGCAGCCCCGGGAGGGAGGCTGGCAGGGAGCATGTCCTCCTGTCTTATAGAAAAGGCAGCAAGGCAGAGAAGAGACAGACTTGCCCGTGTGGCAGAACCCCAGCCCCAAGAGTCATCACATCGATGACCCCAGATCCCAAGATCTGAATTCCCCATCAAATTGTACCCTGGGAATGCAGGAAGTTTGGCCTGGGGATGGGGCGGGCAACACCCCTGTGAGCCCCAATGCACCCTGCAAAGTCCGGGACCCATCTGCCCTCAGGTCTCCAGCCCAGGACCTGGGTCAGATCCAACCAAAACCTTTTGTTCCAAAAACAACAAACACGTTTGTTCTCTTCTTCCCATGTCCCCCGTTCGAATTACTCAGCTGCTGCCCCGGCTGCAAGGCCTGGAATAGATTTAGTGCCGCCAAAAGGCCGTCACGAGATGTGGATTGCAGATGAACTTCCTGAGAAAAGGATAAACAGCCCGACCTGGGATGGGAAAGAGCTGGTGGAGGCACCACGTGACAGACACTCCTCCTCAGTAAAGGCCCAGAAGGAGCCTTGGCCAAGTGAGGCGGCCTGTGCTTCGCAGCGTCCGGCCTCTGCCCCGGGGCTGGTGGGCTGTGCGTGTTGACCTCACCCTGAGAGGGAGATCTCAGGAGCCAGAGAAGGGAGGGCCTTGGCCCACGTGTGTGACATGCGCCGTGTCAGTCCTGCCTCTGCCCTGGTTGAGCTTGCGACTGGACACACGGCTCCCCTCTCACCCCCCACCCACCAGCCTTAGTTTCCTCCTGCAAAGTGGAGACGAGACTGAACCCCCCCACCCTGCCCCTCGCGGAGTTTGCTGTAGAGCATTCACTTGAACCACCATTACCAAGCCTTTCTGTTCGTGTCGTCGGCCGAATCCCTGGCCCCTGTACAAGGTCTCCCCTCTGCCTGGAATCTTCTATCTCTGCTCTTTGCCTGCTTGGTTGGAGGCTTCTCATCTTTCAAGCCTACATTTAAGGGTCAGTGGCTCCCAGCAGCCTCCGTGGACCACCCTAAAGACCCTTAGATTATCACCACATTCTTATCCTTCATCACAGCTTTCTTGTATTTTCTTCCCAGCCTTTCCTTGCTCTTGTTTACTTCTTTATATGTCACTCCTCTCTCCACTGGAGGGTAAGCTCATGAGGACAGGGGCTGTGTCAGCTTGTCATCAACAGTGCCCAGGCACAGAGTAGATGTCCAGTGCATGCCTGGTAGGGGGTGGGAGGGAGGGCATTGCCACCACTATCACCCCCCAACTACCACCATCACCCCCACCCCTACTACCAGCACCCCCATCATCATCACCCCCACCATCATCCCCACATCACCAACACCACCCCTACCACCCCATCATCACCCCCACTAACACCCCTACCACCACTATCACCCACAGCTCCCCCACCACCATCCCTGCTACCTCCACCATCACCCACACTCCCAACCCCAATACCCATCACCCCCACCTGCACTACCCCCACACCACCATCACCACCACCTCTACCAACACCACTACCACTATCATCACCGTAACCCACCCCCACCATCACCAGCATCATCACCACCACCCCTACCATCACCCCCACCTTCTCCACCACCACCCCCACCACTCTCCACCATCATCATCATCATTAGCAAGAATCATTGCCATCACCATAGTCACAGGCCCTTACTGTGTACCAGTTTTCTGAGCATCTTACATAGGCTAACTCCAGTCCCCAGTCATGACCTTATGAAGCAGGTAGTGTTTGTTATTCCGTTTAACAGATACAGAAACTAACTTACCAAGGGCCCATAGTTGAGAAGTGTGGGATCTGGGACTTGACCCCAGCCCCATAACCCAGGCTCCTAGCCACACATCTGCAGCACTCCTTGGGCGAGCTAGGCCTGGGGACTCTCAGGGACATGGTAGTTTTATTATTACAGCCACAGTGACCGCTGCCATGGTCAGACCCTGAAGCTTCTGCCATTCCATGGGACTGCACAGGCCCCTCTGTGTGCTGCAATGGATGGCATAGACCAGCTGCGGGCCCAGGGCTGTGATGGGGGCAGCTTTCAGGTGATAACCCTGTGCCAGAGGCCACCTGCTAAGGAGCCAAGACTGGGACTCCCAGGGCAGGGCCCTTTCCATCATCACCTGCTGGTAAATTCCATGACTCCTGGAGTTGCTAGCAGGGGCACCTGCTATTCCAGCGATACTAAGATCTGATGGGGCGGATCCAGAGGGTATGGCAGGAGGGTGATGGTGGAACAGCCGCAGGTACGGAGCTGATTTTTACTGTGAGAAAGGCTGAGCCCGGGACACTGACTAACTGTCCCCTCTCTGCTGCCCCCATGCTCCTTGCTTCAGATCATCGACAGCGAGAATGAGGCCCTCCTGGCAGCGCTCACCAAGACCCTGGATGACATCCCTGAGGACGACGTGGGTCTGGGTGCCTTCCCAGCCCTGGATGCTGGGGATGCACTGTCCTATGCTTCCGCTTCGCCTACCCCTTCCTCGGCACCCCCCAGCCCCTCCCCGGAGAGACCCCCCGCCCAGGCTCCTGAGGTGGACGAGCTCTCGCTGGTGAGGAACTCTTTCCCATCATAATCATGGTGGTGGCCTGGGATTCCATGTCTGGTTGTAGGGGTGGCGGGTACCCAGGAGCCCAGCTCCTATTCCTGCCAGCTCTTCATGCTCGCCAGCAATGGGGTGCATGACTGACAATGTGGACAGGGAGTGGGAGGACTCCCTTGGCCTCCCCTCTCCCTCTTGGATGGTTAGACTAACTACAGAGGCATGCCCTGCCTCTGGATTTGGATTTTCTGGATGAACCTTAATTGTGTGTTAAATGCAAACATTTTCATAAAGGTTGTACAGACACGTAGAGTAAAAACTCAAGCAGAAAATGTGGACAGTTAAGAGCAAAATCTCCTTACCCATCTCACAGTGGCTTTTTCCTTCTCCAGAGGTAACCATGGTTGCTGGTCTGTTTTGTGACTTTCCTTTGCTACTTTTTTTCTTTTAACAGTAAAATGGTGCCTACGTCATACACTGGTCTGCACCTTGCTTTTCTCAGGGTGTTGTGTGTCTTGGAAACTCTTCCAGGTGAACAGGCAGCCCTATTTCACCCTTTTTGCTGACTGCCTAGTGTTCCTTGCTGAGGATATACCAGGGTACATTTAACCAGGCCCCTGGTTGATGGGGATTTATGTTATTGCAGCTCCTTTACAGACCTTTGCCACATATAAGTGCCACATATAAATTCCTAGAAATGCAATTCCTGAGTCTACAGATATGTGATTTTCAGCATAGGCAGACTTTCAGATTTCCCTCCAAAGAAGTTGAACTGGCCCTCAGTCCCGCCAGCAAACAACAAATTCTGCCCATGTGAATACGCGTGGAGTGTGCATCTGGAGACCAGGTCTCAGCATTTTTCAGATTCTCCAAGGATTCATTTTTCAGATTCTCCAGCCCTCAGAAGCTGCTGAATGCAGTTGCCCGTGATTGTAGCTGATGGTGCCAGAAGCTGAGATGTCATGAGCTGTGAAATCCAACTTTGCTTTTCCTGTTGAAGGCTCCTGACCTTGGAAAATGACAACTCGGCTAGGAAAACCAGAGTCTGTTAGAGCTTAGGTCATGGAGAGCTGCCAGAAAGGCCCTTGGTGGACCCTTAAGTGCAACGCTGGGCAAACTGAGGCTCAGAGCAGGCAGGGCTCTCCCAGGGCCACAAAACTAGTTGGTTAACCAGCAAAGACTAGAATCCAGGTATTCTGACTCCTGGTCTGGGCCCCCTGTCCTCACTGTCTTCAGACGCCCTAAAGGAAACATTTAGGAAGCACCTACTATGTGCCGGCACATTGTGGCTCCGGGTGATAGGGCCATTGCTTCCTTTCCCACGGCAATCAAACCTACTGGGTTGGAGTCCCTGCCCACCAGTGAATGCTGTGTGTCCCTGAGGCACCTACCCTCTCTGACTCAGCTGCTGCTCTGTGAGGTAGGGTTTTAATGGCGCCTCTCTCAAAGGAAGCACAGTGCTTGGCAGAAAATGCTCATTGAATGCTGTCTGAATAATAGCTATGGCACAACCTTGCGAGGTAGTAACAAAAGGAATTCTCAGAACCATTTTTTGTATGGATCGCCTGAGGGACCAAAACCTCGGCGAGGCAGAGAGCGACCCCTGCCGGTCACGGGCTGTTTCCCTCCTGGCCTTACCAGGCCTCTGTCCACACGCCTCATAGAGCACCACTGCCTCAGATTGTATGCTCGACATACAGGAAACAGGCTCACCATCTAGGCTCCCAACACTCCAGCAGAGTTCCAGAAAGACTACGAGACATTATCCAGATGTCCAGTTTTTAACCTGGAATCATGAACCTCTACTTCCCTGTGCTTTTCTGAAATCAGCAGTTCCTTTTACATTCTTAGAGGGACTCCTGTGATAACAAAAGTTCAGATCCAGTCATTTAGCCTACCTGTTCATTATGCCAACATAGCAGCGAAGGCCTGGAGAGGGAAAGGACTTGTCCCCTTCTCACGGAGCGCTGGGGCTGAGCTGGGCCAGAACAGGCCCCTTTCCTCTAGCTCAACTGCTTTTCCTGTGCACCTCAGAGAACCATAGCCATGCATGCATATGTTTGGGGTCTAGGTGGGGTAGTGGGGCACCTCCAGCTCCTAGGGGTCTGTGGCTCCTGGGCCTTTGGCACACCTTGCTGGGGTGGCCTCTCTCCAAGGAAACACTCAGTGCTGTGGCAGAAACCCATCCTGCTTATCCTCTTGTTCTCAGCCTGAGCTGTGATGTATCTGGGGGTGTGGGGGAGGGGGAGGCTTCCAGGCATATTGAGCTCCCTTTTCTCAGTAGGACACACTGTGCCTGTCTCCAGTGCTGAAGTGTAAGGGTCTCAGCAGTTTATCGAGAAAAAGTAGAAAGGTCTGACAAGCTTGGTGCAGTCTGCTTTGCTGTGCATACATTCCTGGATCATCCAGTCCCACCTCTCGATGGAGTCCCAAGAAAGCGGCTAATAGCAGTTGTCCCTGGGAGGGAGAATGTAGCCCTTCGGCCTGAGGAAGACTTGCTTTACATTGTCTACCTGTTAGCATTTGTGAGAGACATTTTTTCATCACTTAGAGTATTGTTTCATTTAAAAATTGGTTTTTTAAGTAGGAATGGCAAAAAAAGAAAAAAAGAGAGAGACAGAGAAATCAGCTGGAATCCCATGCTAAAGAATCACTGTGGAATGCAACTGCCCAGATTGTGTGTACATGCGTGCGTGCGTGTGTGTGTGTGTATAAGTAACACGCATTGTGTCCCAATGAAGTGTATACTTCCTCTGTTGACAGTAGATTTGTTTGGGTTTCTCAAAATCACACATATTTTCTTGGCTTATTAACTCTGAAAAAGATTTACATTTTATTGGGATCCATGTGTGTTTGGGATTGTTGGAGACCTGTTTTTTGCCTTTCATGTATAGGAACATGTTTTAGGTGACTCTCTGCCCCTACCCTACTTTCTGTGGGCCTGTGATGCCAGGGCTGGGGTGTGGTTAGCTCCCCGGAGTTGACTCCTATGGGCCTCTCCTCTAGGCCCTCTGATTGTGGCTCAGCCCTACTTCTCCCCTCTCTGCTTCTCCCTCAGCTGCAGAAGCTCCTCCTCGCCACATCCTACCCTACGTCAAGTTCAGAGACCCAGAAGGAAGGAACTGCCTGGCGTCAGGCAGGCCTCAGGTCCAAAAGTCAGCGTCCTTGTGTCAAGGTATTTCTGCAACTTGGGGATGCAGTGTCCAGCCTTTCCAGTCTCCCTCCTCGATCTTCATACAGCTTCGTAGCCAGTGTGCTGGGCACTTGTTGAGACCCAACCTGTCTCGGGTTCTAGAAAGAGCCCATCATACCAACAGTGACTCCCATATGTGTCCCTCTCCCTGGCACTGTGTTAGGTTAACACAGTGGGTTAAAGCAGGAACAGGAAGAGGTGGCCTGCCCTCAAGGGGTTTATATTCTAATGGGGTGACAGGCCCATCCTAAGACCCTCCCAGTTGCAGAGGTCACAGTAAGAAGTTTGGATTTTTGGGAGGGAGCCACTGGAGACTCGAAAGCTCTGTCCAGAGCCCCCAGGCTTAAAGCAGGCCCTTTGTGCCCCTTGGGCTCCATCTTCTGAGACCACTGAGGAGAGGCTTACTAGGTGATTGCCCAGCGTGCCTGTCACTCAGTCTGCACTCAACCCTTTCTCTCCCCCCGAACAGTGTGGGGACCACCGTATGCAGGCCACGACCTTGAGAAGAGGAGCAGAAACTGTCCCCTGCCTGGGTTCCCCTGGAGGGTGGGCACCCTCCTGGAGCCCCTCCCTGCTTGCCCCATCTGACCTCCCAAACAAAGGTGACAAGTTGCGCTAGAAGGAAAGCCCCTGTGGACAAGTGGGGACAGATAGGCTAGAGAGAGCTGTCAGCTGGGGCCGGTAGCAGACAGCCTGGAATACCTGCCCACAGATCCTCCCCTTTAATCTCTGGGCACTGGGAGGTTACTGAATCTTTATTTCTTTAACAGCTTTGTGGAGGTGCCACTTACATGTCATAAAAGGCACCTGTTATAAATAAAAGTATCATTCAGTGATTTTAGTCAATTTACAATCATGCAGCCATGACCACAGTCCAGTTTGAGAACATTTCCATCATTCCAGAAAGATGCCCCATTAATCCCTGTCCCCGCACCCAGCCCTAGGCAACCACTAATGTACTTCCTGGCCTTACCTCGGCTGTGGCTCTGCAGAGTGGGGTGCCAGGGAAGGGTGAATTCCACCGCAGGGAGATGTGTTCGGGGCTGATCACACTGGCACTTGTCATCACCCGGGCACTGCCCAGTGCCAGACTGTGCTGGGAGCTGGGGTAGAGTGGAGGAAACCTGGCTTTTCCAGTGACCCAGGTGAGACATGCTAGACCTACCAGTGACTGCAGGGCTGGGACAGAGGGGAGGGCCGGGCGGGCCTCCCTCCTCACTCTGGTCTGTTTCCCTCCTAGATGGACAGCACCCAAGACAAGAAGGCCCCGGTGATGCCATCCCAGAGCCGGAGCTGTACCGAATTGCATAAGCATCTCATCTCAGTGCCGTCCTCCGGGCAGACTAAAGCCCACTCGCCAGACAGGAGCCTACAGCAACCACCACCGCTGAGTTCCCAGCTCCCAGCCAAGGAGGATGAGGAGCTGGGTGAGGACTGCCCGAGCCCACAGCCGGCTCCATCCTCTCCCCGGGACTCCCCTGTGCCTGGCAGAACGGGCCCCAGTGTTCCAGTTTCCCAGGAGGACATGCAGGCTATGGTGCAGCTCATTCGCTACATGCACACCTACTGCCTCCCCCAGCGGAAGCTACCCGCGCAGGCCCCAGAGCCAGGACTGCAGCCCTGCAGCAGCCCGTCCAAGCAGGTCAGACCCCGGCCCGGCTCCCATCACCCCTCCAGAGCCTCCTGGGCCGAATTCTCCATCTTGAGGGAACTCCTGGCTCAGGACGTCCTCTGTGATGTCAGCAAGCCCTACCGCCTGGCCACGCCCGTCTATGCCTCCCTCACGCCCCGGCCCCGGCCCCGGCCTCCCAGAGAGAGCCAGGCCTCCCCCAGCCACCCATCCGCCATGGAGGAGGTGAGGATCGCAGCTTCGCCCAAGAGTGCTGGGCCTCGGCCCAGCCTGCGCCCACTCAGGCTGGAGGTGAAAGGGCATGCCAGTCGTCTGGCCAGGCTGCAGCCAGAGGAAGAGGAAGAGGAGGAGGAGGAAGAGGAAGAAGAAAAAGAGGAGGAGGAGGAAGAGGAAGAGGAGGAGGAGTGGGGCCGGAAAAGGCCAAGCCGGGGCCTGCCATGGACCAAGCTGGGGAGGAAGCTGGAGAGCACAGTGTGCCCCGTGCGGCGCTCCCGGAGACTGAACCCGGAGCTGGGCCCCTGGCTCACCTTCACCGAGGAGTCCCTGGGCCCCACAGAGCCCCAGGGGCCTCTGTCTTCAATGCACCTGGCCCCTAAGGCCTACAGCCTGGAAGGGGAGCTGGGCAGCCCCGCAGACGAGGACATTGGCCAGGACCAGCAGCTCCTGCAGGGACCCCAAATCCCGGCTCTGGAGAGCCCCTGTGAGAGTGGGTGTGGGGACACGGATGAGGACCCCAGCTGTCCACGGCTCCCTTCCAGAGGTAGTCAGTGGCGTGTGAGAGCGGGGGCAGGGATGGGCTTGGCATACCCCACTGCGCTGGGGGCCAGGAGCTCGGTGTGGGCAAGACCCTTCCCCTCTCCGACGCTCAGCTTGCCTCCTGCTGGCTGTGTGGATCTGCAGGAAACACCCTGCGTCTCTGAATGTTCATCTTGCACGGGCCAGCTGCCGCGAGGGAGCAAGATACCTGCTCTCACGGCTTAGGTTTCAGCACAGGAGACAGGCAGCCAAAAATGAACAAAAAAGGAAGATAGAGTCAACCCTTGAGCAATGTGGGGCTTAGGAGTGCTGACCCCCCCCCCCGCCCTACAAGGTCAAAAATCTTTGCATAACTTTTGACTGGAAGCCTTACTGATAATAGAAATAGTCAATTAACATTTATACACTGGATTCTTACAATATACTGTATGTGTACATATATATATATATATATGTATACTGTATTCTTACAATAAAGTCAGTTAGAAAAAAGAAAACGTAATTAGGAAAATCATAAGGAAGAGAAACTACATTTACAGTACTAATCTATTTATTGGTACCATTAGCTTACATCATCTGTTCACAAGAAAATCCACGTAAGTGCGGACCCTGGCAGTTCAAACTTGTTCAAGGGTCAGCTGTAATCACAACTTGTGATAACTGCTATAGAGAAGACTTCCTGGGTAGTGAGGTGACAGAAGGCGTGAGTCTATACATTCAGCTCTTCCATGAGGCTGACTTTTCAGTGGTAATAACAGTGGCGATACAGCAGCTCTTCTGTACCGGAGGTGCCAGCCACTGTTTTAAGACTTGGCACCGATTCTCCCCATTGACTCCTCACAGAAAGCCTATGTGGTAGGTACGTTGATGATCCCCATGTTACGATGCAGAGATGCAGATCTCTCACTGTCCATCTGCTAGTCAGTCCTGCGTCTGGCAGAAACCAAAGCCATCACCTCCCACGGCTCTCTCCCTGCGCTGCACTGTTTGGCCAGAAGGGGTCGCCCTGGCAAGATTGAGTCCCCTGCCAGCTCCTAAATGCTACTGAAATTGGGGAATGAGTGGCTTTGAGTTGCTCTTGCCCTTCCCTAAAAGTGGCAGAGGCTTTAGGTCCCATGCTGTGCTGGATACCAATGCCCCCCATCAATGTGTGGGGTCTCCTCCAGGGGAATCATATCTCTTGGAATGCCATGTTGGGAATCTTACTTTTTCCTTTTTATCTTCTTTTCAGACTCTCCCAGGTGCCTCATGCTGGCCTTGTCACAAAGGTAGATTTTTAGAATTTATGGTATATCATTCCATGAGACTTTGTCTTGTTGGGTGTGTATGTTTGGGGTCTGGGTGGTGCAGCAGCCCCAGCCCCACCCTTCTGCCCTGAATGCCATGCGGGGCCCTTTAGAAGCAAGTTTGTTTTTAGAAACTGGTCTCTGCTGCCCCAGGAGAAAGATGGGGAATCTAGAGCATTTCGTAAGTTGTCCTCCCTCTTCAGGACCCAGGAAAGAGGTCTCTTCTGCGTGGGGAAGAACTGGTAACACTGTGTGCCTTTGGGCTAGTCTCTCGCCCCCTCTGTGCTTAGGTGTTCTCTCTGTAAAATAAGGAGACTGAGTGCTTTTCTCTCCACATTGCAGTCTCTCCATGTTTCCTGAAAGAGCTGAGCAGCTCTGAATTCCTCTAACAGCCAGGATGGGGAGTCCCTGCAGATTCTCCCCAGATCCCACTTCTGTAGGCAGCAGAACTGGCCTGTCACAGGCCCTTTACCCTACTCTCTTGCTTGTGGAGATGGACCCTGCTGCTGACCAACCTCTTCCCTTTCTGTCCTCCTTGCCCCCTACAGTGACCCTCCTTTTGGCAAGAAGAATTTTGAGCAGAACTTGACCGTGGAGCTCTGTGGCACAGCAGGTGAGTCAGGGGGCTCAGCGGGTGGGGTGCCCTGAGGGGAGCTGGTGGTGAGTCCTGACACTGAGCAGCCCCTGAGCGGTGAGGGTGCACCAAGCTCTCCCTGACCTCGCTGCACAGCTGCGTGGCCCTTGAATCCATTGTGAGGGAGTCAGAGAGGGTCAGAGCCAGCTTCTGTTCCCCTGCCGACCACTGCCACGAGAGCTGATGCTGGGGTCGGGAAAGGGACACACTCCTTCCCCTGAAGGAGCCGCAGTCTGGTGAGACTCACACATGATGAGTTCTGTTTGACTCAATAGTTCCTTAGTGTGCGAGAGCTCTGGGGGCAAAGGGGGTGGGGTGTGGGGGCAACCAGAGCGAGGGCATTGGAGCTGGGCTTGCAGTATGGAGAGAAAGCAGGGAAAGGGGTCCTGGTAGCATGGTGCAAAGTATAGGTGTATGGAAAGCCAGAGGGTCTGGTGGCCTTTGCAGCTTGTCGGGGAGTATAAGGGGGTGTCACTAAAGCCACGAGGAACACCAGGCTGAGGGGTTGGGTCTCGATCCTATAGACTTCAGGAACCCCAGAGAGGAGGAGACAGCGGGCATTTAGCAAGTTCCTTTTAGTGCCTTGGGGAGAATGAGGGCCCAGGTCAGACACGGGAGCATTCCAGATGCTATGGGGAATCTGGGTGGGAGGTTTTGCCCCTGGTGCCTGCCCACTTCTGCCCTGCAAGACGTCAGAGCAGCTGGGAGGGCTTGATGAGTGACGTGTGGAATAGGAAGAATATCTCCATGACCCAGAGGTCTCAGCTGCCATGACCAGGCGACAAGGGATGGCAAGTGGAATTCAACACGGAAGTGGTGACGGGCGTGTGAGGAGCCCCAGGCCACGTCCAGGCTCACTGCCATCAGAGCCTTCACTGGTTTCTGGGAGAGCAGTGGCGTGTCTGCCTCTTGTTTGCCGTCCCTAAGCGGGGTCTCAGTGTCCTGTGGATAAGTGTCCGTCTCCATCTCGCTTTTCTCCCCTTGCTTGGGCAGGACTCACCCCACCCACCACGCCCCCGTACAAGCCCACAGAGGAGGACCCCTTCAAACCAGACATCAAACACAGCCCAGCCCAAGACAGAGCTACCAGACTCCCCACCCCAGAGGGCACCACAGGAGCGGCCCCCAGGCTGCCAAAGAAGCACCCGGAGCGGAGTGAGCTCCTGTCCCACCTGCGGCATGCCACGGCTTCTCCAGCCTCCCAGGCTGGTCAGAAGCGCCCCTTCTCCTGTTCCTTTGGAGACCATGACTACTGTCAGGTGCTCAAGCCAGAGGGCGCCCTGCAGAGGAAGGTGCTGAAGTCCTGGGAGCCGTCAGGAGTCCGCCTGGAGGACTGGTCCCAGCAAGTCACCCCTCGGGCTGAGGCGGCTGAGGCGCAGGCCCCTAGCAGAGAAGGCAGGAGCTGTGATGTCGGGCCCTCCCCCAAGGACAGTGTGCTGCTGAGGGACCATGAGATCCGCGCCAGCCTCACCAAGCACTTTGGGCTCCTGGAGAGCGCCCTGGAAGATGAAGACCTAGCTTCCTGCAAGAGCCCCGAATACGACACCGTCTTTGAGGACAGCAGCAGCAGCAGTGGTGAGAGCAGCTTCCTCCTGGAGGAGGAGGAGGAGGACGATGAGGAAGAGGACTCAGGGGTCAGCCCCCCTCGCTCTGACCACTGCCCCTACCAGAGCCCCCCAAGCAAGGCCAGTCGGTCGCTCTGTTCCCGGAGCCGCTCCAGCTCTGGCTCCTCCTCCTGCCGCTCCCGCTCACCAGCCACCCGAAGGACCTTCAGGTACAGGGGCATGGCCTGGGGGGTGGGATGGTGGGCATCTGAGGGTGCAGGGGAGGGAGGGGCATCCTGGAAATGGAAATGCATTTCCCTGTATGGCCCCTGTCCTGGTAGTGTGGAGTCGGGTGAGCTGAGGCAAGCAGTGCCTGCTGTGTGATATCACGGTGTTCTGGATCCCCTGACCTCGGGGGAGGAGGAGCCCCCATCACCTGTGCTTTTATATTTCAACATAGGTTTGGGGGGAAACCTGTACATGACCACACAGGTCAACACCTCTGTGATGTCTACAGGGAAAGGATTAGAATAATTCTAATCTGATTCTAAAGCACAGCCCAATGTAGAGCAGTGCCAGTGACGCGCCTATTCCCACTTCTGGGTTCTGCTGAGCTTACTGCAGCTCTAGCAGTCACCCCCTTACCGCACCCCCTGCTCCCTCTGCACAGGATGGTGCGTCACCAGCCTGCCTGCTCATACCCTCTTTGCTCACTGAACCGGCTGCAGAAGGAGCCAATCCAAACGTCATCGGGAAGCTGGGCAGAAAGGAGGCTGGCATATTTTGGTGGAGACAGGTTGCTTCTCTCCCTGATCACAGCAGGACCAGACGCTTGGAGGGGGGCCCTGGGTAGGAGATGCAGGTCCCACACTCTCTGTGATGCACCCCAGTGACCACTAGGTGGTGCTCACGTGTCTAGCGCTGCAGCGCCCCCTGGGGGCTTCTTCCTTGCAGATGGGGAAATGATTCTATAAGTCTGGGGGAGGGGGTGGCAAATTTGCATTTCCAACTTCCCAGGTGATGATGATGTCACCATACTGTCATTCTGGGAAGCCAGAATTCAGGCAATAGAAAGATACTTTTTCGTAGAAAAATTCAGCTTTTGTTATATATTTACATACTTATATTTACCAATGACTCTTAACTGTTCAAAAACCCGGTTAAAGCAAAGCCTCCTCTCCCCTTAAAAATGGGCTGAGACAGCTAACTGGACGTTCAATTTTAGGGGCTTGATGGACTCCCTGGACATTAATGTTAAGAAAGCCCGATCAGTTACACAAAATGAGCTGCCAGTCATTTCTCTCAAGGCCTCTGTACCCCTCTGAGCCCTCTTTGCCACTCTATGCTCCTTCCCCAGGGTCACTGTGGGCTCAGTGACCACGTCCACATCGGGCAGTTTCCTGCATCCGCCCGCGTTGGAGCTGGAGCTCCCCGCCTCCTTCCCTCCCGGCGGGTTCAGGGGTGTTTGGGAGCCCTTGTGCTCATGGGCTTCCCACAGTTTCGAGCCTCCCTGGAGATCTCCATGGATTGTCCATTTCCTTCTCTTGCTTTTGGGCCAAGCTCAGGACTATCTTTTTCTGCTCACTGGAGAAAGTTCCTGCTCAGCTACCTGGCAGCCTGGCTACCTGGTGGGCCTGAAAACTAGTCATCAGCCTTCTCCAGACCCACATTTCCTTCTGCCTTTTCCTTCCAAACATCCATTTACAGCACAAACCCCCAAACCGAGAGCCTTCCAGCCACTCTCAGACCTTCCTGCCACACTGGGCAGCCTTCGATATTTGCTGGACACATACCCTCTGGGACCCTGTTTCAGTTTCACAGATGCACTTGGAGGCACATCTGGTTCTTAACCCATTTTATAGATGAGGAACCTGAGGCTCAAGCAGCTTCAATAGAAAAAATATAACAAGTGATAGGGAGCATTCACCTGCATTTTCTAACTGGATACTCACAAATGACCAATGATTTGATTGACTTGATGCAGTTGATTTTCAATTGTATCCTGCATTAACAGATGAAGAGCTGAAGCTAGGGGACTTGAGCAACTGGCCCAAGGTCACATGGCAGGAAGGTGGTAGAGCAGGACCCCCACACAGGCTCCTCACTCAGGAGCCGCCTCCCACCCCCCGTGCTGTGCTCCTGCAGTGTGTGTCCCCCCGCCTTGCTTCTCCACCCGGCAGCCTGGTCCCGAGGAGGAGAAGGCAGTGGGTGTGCAGGCAGCAGCATGCTGGAGCCGCCTCGGCCTTGCCCCCTCATGCTTCACCTGATGGCCCACTGGACCTGGGGGCAGTGAAGGCCGCATGGCTGCTTGGCTGAGGCACGAGTGCCAGAGGCCAGAGGCCAGAGGCCCAGACTCAGCAACCCTGCTTTCCACTCGGACTCCCCTTTGGGTTGGGTAATCCCATATTGAACCCGAGCCTCGGCTTTCTTATCTGGAAAATGGGGGCACATGAGACCTCAGAGATTTGTTTCTTCATCAGATCAAATCTGATAATGAGGTGAAAGGACCTTTCTACCCCTCATAGCATAGAATGCCAGCCGCGGAAGGGTGACAAGGAGTCGGGAGGCGAAGTTTCCCATGCCCGAACCCCGGAGATGGCACGAGGGGCGTTCGGGTGTGCAGGTGCGCACATGGCCCCTGCTGTCACCGCAGGGCGGGAGAGCTGGCACCTGCGCCCTCTCTAGTTTGCCCTCACCAGCTAGTCCCGAAGGCTCGAGCCTCGCCTCCCGGCAGCTCACCTGCCCCATAGTCCCACTGAGAGTGAGTGCCTCTGCTTTGCTTGTTCACCGACAGATGTGAGAGCAGAGGGCCGTGTTCAGACGGAACGCCAAGCGTCCGGCAGGCCAGGAAGCGGCGGGAAAAGGCCATTGTAAGTGACCTGCGACGCTGGAGCCCTGAGTGATGGGGGCGAGCAGGGGAGTCAGGAAGTTGGGGGCTCCGTAAATCCCAAGTCCCTGCCTGGGGAAGAAGGGCCTACAGAAATAATTTTATTTCCCTCATTTGGAAAAAGCACAGAGGTCACCCAGGGTATCACAGATGGCCCAGGGTACAAGGTGCATGCAGTTAGAGATGACTTAGGGTGTGACAGGGCCAGAAGGACCCCCCAGGCCCCACACCAGTCCTGCCATCACTTTCTGTGTGACCTTGGGCAGGTCTCTTAGCTTCCCTAAGCAGCAGATTTGTTCATCTACTCACAGGGAGCTGGGCCTTGTACTTCCTAAGGGTCCCGCAGCTGGATCAGGAATAAGGGGTGGACAGGACCCATCTCTCTTCACACTCCTCCCTGATGGTCCCCTCAGACTTAGTGCACAGGCTCCTGCTGGGCCTGCTGACCCTGCTGCTGCACAGAGAAAGTACATTAGTCAGGACCCAGTCCCTCGGGTCACTGAAAAGGAAGGAAGGGAAAGTAGACGGAATCACAAAATGGCCCCCTCTCTCTTGGTTGGGTTCCCCTGTGACACGGTGCCAGGGCAGGGTGGGGCTGATGGGGCTGCAGGGGGAATGTACGCCCCGGAGGAACACAGCTGTCTGCAGCTTCTTGGCACCCACACATGAATGGTCAGCAGCTGCGACATCCTGGCACTGTCCTAGGCCCTAGAGGACAACCATGGACCAGGCAGATGAAGTCCCCGCCCCTGTGGTTGGGGCAGAGGGAGGGAAAGACAGCGGCTCGTAAGCAGTGATGAGCACTGTGGTTACAGACAGGGAAGCGCTGCGAAACCAGTCCCGTCCCGACTGACACATCTTGAGACAGGCGGTCGTGCTCTGACTGGGGGAGGGCGTTGAACATGGAAGCCTGGGAGCAGGGTCTCCCCGGGGCTGGGCCTGGGAGGTGAAAGGCGCCCACCCAGCAAGGATTCGGGAGGGCAGAGAAGGAAGGTGCTTCTCAGAAATGGGGGAAGGACATCTTTCTCTCATTGAACCCCTACATTGTAGTTGGGGTGCACAGTTCCTGTGACCACACAAGGAGCGTGGGCACCGGAGACTCTCCATCAAGGACGATGTTGGCAACGGCTACCCTGCCTTGGCCCCCCCGTTTGGGCCCCCGGACCCTGCTGTTCTCCCTGCCTCCCCCCCATGGTAGAAGGCTCCACTATCTAACCTGTTCCTACAGGAAGCCTGTCTGAACCAGAACCAGGGGGTTTTGCGCAGGGAAACCTGTGTTTCCCAAGCAGGTCAAGGTGCCTCTTCCAGGAGCAGCAACTTCACCAGGACCCAATTTCATATTGGAGAGAGGAGGCTTCCCCCACCCTCCTCCCGCTGTGCCATTGCACTCAGCACCCAGCTCAGGAAGGTGACCTTGGTCAGGGTGTCTAAACACCACCCTGACCATAGCAGAGACCTTAAGCCCTGTGCACCCCAACCTGCTCTGACTCTGCAATGCCGCAGCTGCTAGCCTTGCCCTTTACTATGGTCAGCCACTTGCTACTGCACCCCAGCACCTCCCCCACTCCCCAGAACAAAGTTTCAGACTCAGACAGGTTCAGAAAACAAATCCCGAAGCTACTGAATGTGCAGTTATATTAAGGGTGAGGAACACTCTCTTTTCTCTGCCTACTCTCTGCTCATTTCCTTGAAGTAAGTAGTTGTTTCCTTTGGGGACTGCTTCCCCACCCGACTATTAGCAGCCCCCTCCTCCAACATGTGGGTCCTCTAGAGTAGTGACTGTCACCATCACCGTCTTCTCTGGAACAACAGCCCCACTGACGTTGCTTGCCCAGCCAGGTATCAGAAACTGGGGGTGAAGATCTCCTTAGGTGTCACCACCCAGGGGCCCCAGGTAGTGAGGCAGTGACTGGACTAGGTCCCTGTGTGTCCCGAGCAGGGCGAAGGTCGCGTGGTGTACATTCGCAATCTCTCCAGCGACATGAGCTCCCGCGAGCTGAAGAGCCGCTTCGAAGTGTTTGGCGAGATTGTAGAGTGCCAGGTGCTGACCAGGAGCAAGAGGTGAGCCTGACAGGTGTCATGTGGACCTGCCATGAATTGGGGGGAGGTGGAAGGGGAGGGATCAGGTCCTACACAGAACTGGTCACACTGATGATGCCTGAGAAGCTCTGCAAAACCAACCTGAAAAAATCCACAGCATAGATCCAAAAGAAGGACCAGGCACGATGGGGCAGTTCTGTCCTGGCATGAACACATGCTGCAGGCAGCAAGCAACCCTGGGGGCTGGAGGGCACCGTTACATTGGAGCTCCCTGCCCACAAGCCCCCAGCTGCTCACAACCCACTTCACCTAGGCCACAGCTAGTCCCAGCCACCCCTTCTACTGGGTGGCCCTGGTCTTTTCCTCCCTCCCTCTCCTGGGGTAGCAGTGTTTCAGCTCTCTGGGGGCAGCAGGCTGCAAAACAGGCTACATATAAATGTGTAACTTAGATGTCAAAAACTTTGTCAGTTTTAAGTATTTCTAAAGTATCTCCCATTTTACTTGCACATTTAACTTTTTAGGGGCTTTAAATTCTAATTTAATAATAATTTTTAAAAGCTTCAATGAGAAAATATTTTCTGTGTACTAATCGCTGCACATCTCACACACATTAGGATTTCACCGAAAGTAGCAAGTGTTGGCAAGAATGTAGAGAAATCAGAACCCTGTGTACTGTTGGAGGAAAGTAATATGGTGCAGTTGCTGTGAAAACAGTATAGATTCCCTTAAAAATTAAGCAGCCAATCATATTGAGGTCCTGGCAGTCCCACTTCTATTCCAAAGAATTGGAAATAAGATCTCAAAGAGGTTATTTGCACACCCACATCTGTAACAGCACTAATCACAGTAGCTAAGAGGTAGGAACAACCCAAGTGTCCACTGACGATGGATGGATACACAAGATGTAGTATATGCTCACAATTGATAATACTCAACCTTAAAAAGGCAGGAAATGCAGTCACATGGTATAATGAGGACGCATCAGAGGAAACTGTGCTGAGGGGAATAAGCCAATCATGAAAAGACCATGTGTGTGAAGCAGTCAAATCCATTGCCAGGGTGGGGAGAGGTAGTCAAGTTTGTGGCTAGGTACAGGGTTTCAGTTTTGCAAGATGAAAAAGTTCTGAACTCTCCTGTATATCATGTGAATATAATTTACACTACTGAACTCTTAACACTTAAAAGGTGGTAAAGATGGTTAATTATGTATGTGTTTTTTTTTTAACATAGTGTGTGTTTTTACAATTCAAAAAAGGAGTCTATGCAAATGGAAGTGGTTTAAGTTCCAGGATAGCCAATGAAGACAATATGCAAAAATAAAGCAAGCAAATGATCATCTAAAAGCAGGGCCAGTTTGTTAACGATTTTAAAAGCACACATGCTCAGCCATTTAATTGAAAACACAGAAGATTCCAGCTTTGGCCTGACCCAGAAAGGTGTGGGGAGGTGTGATTCTGCTATTTATCGGGCGCCCACTGTGGGGAGCCGGTGCTGAGCAGTGGGGAGCTCCAGCGGTCCAGTTTTTCTCTTGCTGTTCTGGAACTGAAGAGTCAGGGCACCTTTCGGCTTTGTGTTTCTATGAGCTTCACGACCTTAGTTGCCTTGTGTAAGTGGGCTCCTGCGATATTGATGGCCTTGGCAGCCTTTTCTGGCCAACATCCCCCATGGCTGTGGCCTCACCTCTAAGGTTAGAGACCTTGGGGTTGCAGGATGGATTTTTGAAGTCCCACTGTGGGTGACAGGCAGGCTCACCCTTGAACAAATCACTGTGGCCGTGGAGGTCACCCCCATGTGACTTATGTGGTGCCCCAAACCTGGCTGACTTGTGGTGGCGCTGTGGTTCTGAGGGAGAGTGGGCACAGGCAGCAGATTTCACAGATGTCTGCGTCAGCATGTGATGCTAGGACAGGCCAAGGAAGTGTGGCTGAGATGGCAGAGTGTGGTGGGATGGAATGAAGCATGGTCACTTCTAGAAAATGGAAAGAATGAGGACAATTCAGTAGTGGGAGGACTGAGTTTGAATCCCTGCTCTGCCACTTGCCTTTAGGAAAAGTCATTAGATACCAGTACCCACATGCAGTGCCCTCTGAAGAGCCTATGGGGCTGTGGCTGTCCAGCACCAGAACAGCGCCTGGTCATGTTTATTGCAGTAACAGTAGCAGTTACTACCTGCTCTCATTATGTAGCAGAGGTCAGCCTCGCCACTGTTGTCATCTCAGTTTGGGACCGTGTGTCGTGGTGACTGAGCCCAAGCCATTGGGGCCTCTGCTCCTTGTCTGGAGCGGGGTCGACCCGGTTGACCAGCCAGCTCAGTAACATGCTCCCTTCTCTCCCCCCAGAGATGAAAAATATGGCTTCATCACCTACCGGCGCTCTGAGCACGCTGCGCTCTCTGTGAGGGACGGCGCTGCCTTGCGGAAGCGCAACGAGCCCTCCTTCCAGCTGAGCTACGGGGGCCTCCAGCACTTCTGCTGGCCCAGGTACACTGACTACGGTGAGTACTCAGACCCCGCCATGCTCCGGGCCCAGATCCTGAGGGCGGTGGCCTAACCTGACGGGCGGTGGCCTTGAATGAAACCCATACCAAGGCTTCTTTGGCCACAGCTCCCAGGCCAGGCTCCATTGTGCTGCTGCTGGGTTCATCTGGTAGCCCCGTCACCTGGAGGCAGCCATCTCATTTTTCTTCTGCTTTCTGGTCCACTTTGTCCTCTGCCCAGACTGGTACAAAAGACAGAGATTCAAGTCTCCCGTGGCTTCTTGGAAGGTCTGACCTTGTGTTCACAAACCACTGGCAGAGCCATGGCTACTGACCCCAAATAGACCAGCAGCCTCCCTGCCCCTTTGCGGGGCTTTCCATGGTAACCCCAACAGACAGCAGCAATCCATTAAGGCACTACAGTGAAACAGTAGTACCATGTAGTACCATGCCCTTGCATTTGGGGACAAGTTTGTGGAGAAGAATCAAGAAGTACAACTTGGGAGAGAATTATTTACAGGGAAGTGTCCTATGTAGCCCCTATAATCCAGGGGAGAGTGTCAGGAAAAGTAGGAGCGTTCCAGGTGCCCCACAGAACTACACAGTGAGGGCGCCCTCGTCTCCTCAGCCCCCTGTGTGACTCACACGGTGGTTTCCCAATGGGCAGAAAGCTGTTAGAGGAAGTAGAATTATAGGCAAAGAGCTGGAAAGGAGCTTGGGGTGCTCTGGCTTAGCCCCCCCATACTCTACAAATAGGGCCACCCATGATGTGGATGATGTCACTGCAGGACGGCAGTGCTGACGTCCGCTGTTCAGTGCCACATCCACTCCATGGGGCTGCCCCTGCGGCAGGATGGTCCCTTGGCTTTTCTGAGTTGCTCACTGCCTTCCCTCTCCCCGACTCCTCACCCCTGCCCAGATTCCAATTCAGAAGAGGCCCTTCCTGCGTCTGTGAAAAACAAGTATGAAGCCATGGATTTTGACAGCTTACTAAAGGAGGCCCAGCAGAGCCTGCATTGATAACAGCCTTAACCTTCGAGGAATACCTCAATACCTCAGACAAGGCCCTTCCAATATGTTTACGTTTTCAAAGAAATTAAGTATATGAGAAGGAGAGCGAGCGAGAGCGTGAGAGAACACACGTGAGAGAGAGAGAGACTTGAAACTGCTGTCCTTTTAAAAAACAATCAATGTTTACATTGAACAAAGCTGCTTCTGTCTGTGAGTTTCCATGGTGTTGACGTTGCACTGCCACATTAGCGTCCTTGCTTCCGAGGGGTTGTCCCGGGTGCGCCTCCAAGTGCTGGCTCAGTCACCCACCCCCCACCCCCCAACCCATCCCACCCCCGCCCGCCCACCCCACCCCCACCCCATCCCCACCCCACCTGACCGCCGTAGTCGCGCAGCTGTGTTCACCATAACATTTCTTGTCTGTAGTGTGATGATGAAATTGTTACTCGTGAATAGAATCAGGATTATAAATGCATTTTTAATTGAAGAAAAAAAAGTATATCCTTAAAATAATGTATTTATGGCTCAGATGTACTGTGCCTGGGATTATTGTATCGCTTCCTTGATTTTTTAACTATGCACTGTCGTGAGGTGTTTGCCACTGAGCTGTTCTGCTCCCTTTGTGGGATTGCCCTAGAGGTGCTGGGTGGCCGGAAGGCAGGTCCCCAGGGAAGCACAGCCCGATGCCACACCAAGGAGCAGTGGAGAGAAGTTTCCAGGCCTTTTATGCCAAGCCCTGCCCTGTCTCTAATTGACCAGTTTGGGTCCAAATACAATCAGAGTCCTCACCTCATGCCCACCTGTACTTAGAGCTTGCTCTCGGCCAGGAGTGCTCGGGCCTTCTGGACCTGGTAAGGAAGGCAGGCAAGCTGCTTTATTCCCACTTCCCAGGTGATGTAAGCAGTGTCTGGAGGGGCAAAAGGATTTGCCCAAAGTCCCATGGCCAACCCAGACCTCTTGATTTCCTGGCCCCGTGCTCCCCACAGTAGCTGGGGGGAAGAGGCAAAGTTTCTGGCCCAGAGAAGTGAGTTCGGCAAAATTGGCCATCAGGCGCAATGCCTGTAGGCTTCAGGGGGGCAAGTCAACACTGACCTGCCAGCATCAGGAGCTGTAGCTCCAGTGCGTGTCTTGATCCAAGGGGTCCTGTGGCTGACGGGCACCTGTGGGCACACCATCAGGGCTTCAGTGACACCTGCAGTGGCACAGATTTGGAGCAGTCACCCTTCTGGACCCAGCCACTGACCCATCCTCCTCCCTTCAGCTTGCTCTTATCTCTTCCTAACCTGTGAAGTTGTTTTGGTGACACAAGGCATGGGGAGCAGGATGTGAGGACTGGGGGTGGATAAAAAATCTCCAGGCTCCTTCCCAACTTAGAGAACATTCTAACTGAGCTTTACTTTAAACTTTGTGTTCTTGAGTGCCATCAAGGCCATGTCCAGCATGCGTTCTGCAGGTGCCTTGGGGACCATGTGGGAGGACCAACTGATGAGGCAGGGTATGAGCTCATTGCTTTTGCTTCACACAGAGTAGCTCCAACTCAGACATCAGGGTTCCTTAAGAAATTTTTGTATTTTAGAATAAAGAAAAAAGGTACTGTTGCTTGAACAAAGTTTGAAATGGACTCATTAAATGAAATAAGCTGATTTAATCTATTTTGAATGCCAGAGCTAGTCCTTTGAGAATTAGTGATTGATTTTTTTTTAAGATAATCAAATATCTCAATAGATACTGGACTGATGCGCTTGTCCTGGGTGGTGAACACACTCCAAGCCCACAGAGAAGGCTAGAAGAAAGAGGCTTTAGAAGAAACTGAATTTGAGCTCCTTTGGGTCAAGTCACTTGACCTTTCTGTACACCCTTTTTCTCTTCTGTGAAATAGACTGAGGCAGAGAATTAGCAAGTGGATCTCTAAAGTCCCAGCCAGATGGCAAATAGATGGCACACATAGAGTGTTCCCACATCCTTGGTCAATGGCAGGCATAACTAATCGAACACAGCACTCATGTTCTTTGGGCTGATCATGCTATTAGAGTTCTCAGCATGGTACTCCGGGCAGCCACTACAAATCAATCAGAGTTTAGCCCATCTGATCCAACCTTTGAAAGATTCTCATCATATACAGCCATGTGGAGGCTGGGTTTCAGGTTCGCCCATCCTGTCTGTCAAGTCCCACTCTGTGAGAGACAATTTCCCCAAAGTCATTCCTTGGCTCAGGACTCCCAATGCTACTATGACACACAATCCTCTCTGGGTTGGGCTCAGGGGCATGGTCAGTGGAATAATGGCCATGAACATGTTTGGAGAAGGCAGGGTTTATGAGGATGGACCACATAACTTTCCACAGCACAGACCTGAACATTCTAAATTACTTTTATAGCTATTCACTGCCTAGCACACAGTAGGCACACAATACATAATTATGGAATCTGCCTCCCTGACTTGCTCTGAGGAGTAAACTGGGATTTCATCCTGTAGAAGCCAATGGAAAGAACTCCCGACCTGCGTCCAGATTGAGTCCTGGTTCCACCCAGGCCCTCCTCTGTGTCTTTGATAAGCCAGAGTCCCTTCCCCCTGGAGCCTCATGTGCTAGAAAGGGGGCCAGGTGGTCTCTAAGCCACTCCTAGTTGCTGCTTCTGTGATAGCAGTAAGGCAGAGGCTCCGCCTTGGGTGGCTTGTGGCACTTTAGGGTCAAGAAATGCAGGTTTTTAGGGAAGGACAAGTCTCTCCCCTCTCCCAGGTCAGCTGAAGTGCCCTTTCAATACAGGGCACTTGAAGTTACTTAGACATTGACCAGAACAGAGCAGGGATCTGAGCATGGCATTGGGACATGATGTGCCAAGGTCACAGCTGGGGCTATTGATGGGAGAGGATGCCCACCGTGCCCTCCATAAAAGGCTACAGCTTCTCCAATTGCCCAGCCCTTCAGACGTCCTGTATCCAGAGGACTCATTCGGTGCTGTGGATTATTTATCAGAGAGCCTCCAAGCTCTATTCAGGAAAACCAGTCAACCTTGGTCTCTTTCCTATAAAATGAAGGAGTCACCAGAGGGAGCAGCTGCCTTTGGCAACCACCTCATTGTAGCTCTGTCCTAGTATTTGCTCTCGATGTTTACATGTGATTGCCATAAAAGCTTACTGTAGACTGTCGCTCGCCGCCCACACAGGGCAGGCCGTGCCGTCCATCTCTGTGCCATTCCGGTGTTTTCCAAAAATGTCCGATCCAACCGCTAAGTGGAATTCTTCCATCTCCTTCCTCAGTCGGTACAAGGCTGAATCAGAAGCCTCCTTCTTGGGGGCTCTGGTTACCGAAGGAAAATGCATCAAAGAGGTAAAGAAAATGAATGGATGGAGTGCAGCTAAGGTCCCACCCCCTGCCCCCAAACACATCTTGCCCCTGTGCCCCCCACCCCGAACACTGCTTCAAGTCAGGTGTCTGGCATGCTCAGCAGGAGAGGGGGGTTGCTGGAGGCTGGGGAAGGGAAGGAGGAATGCTCTAGAAAGTTTTCATCGCCTAAAGCCTATGTTTGTTGATGTTTTGAGAGCAGTTTCTTCCAGGCATAATGCCGTGTGCATGTCGAGCCACTGCGCAGGGGCCAAGTGGAAGGGACAGGGAGGGCTTGACAGCGTGTTCATCTGCATGGACAGCTTGCAACCCCGTCTCAGGCTTTGGGTGCAGTTAGAACCACAGCTGAGCCTGCAGCCTGAGAGGCCGCCCTGACTGTGGGTTAGGATCCAGCCTAAAGGGTTTCTTGATCTGACTCGTGATGTCAAAACTTCAGTATTTTTCTTAGCATCTGAGATTTAGCAGTTGCCCTCAGTTTGGGGGAACCCCATATTCCAGTGTCAAATATGATGAAAGAAGCGGGGTACACAGTAGCAAATAAAGTGAACCTAATGGTTTCATTGGCCAAAGAAGAGGGCTCCCCAAGTCCCTGAGGTGTTTGCACACACACAGATGGACTCCAGGACTGGTTGCCGAGTCCAGAGGTACAGGGTAAGTGGAAGGGGAACTGGGAAACCATATGCAGAGAGATGCCACTGGCTTAAAACAGATGTGTGGTGGGAGACCCCCCACCAGAAGCTGACTGCAGGACATGCCAGAAGGAGACAGAGGCTGACTGAGAAAATAATACCCCTTCAGCCTCTGTTTCTACACTGGCAAATAGGGGCTCCTTTGGCTGTGTGAGGATCCACCCCCCCCTGCCCCCCCAGTGACTGAGGGAGGGGGTGTTGTGGGGAGGGCAGGGCAGAGATGCCTTCCTCGGTAACAGCCCTGAGATCATGCCTGTACTGGCCTCGTTGTTGGAGGCCCTAGAAACAGGGAGAGGTGAGTTGGATCTTGGTACCTATCTTTGTGGGGGGAAGAAAAAAAAAGAAAGAAAATGACAGCCAATTGATTGGAATGAGTTTGTGAGCAAGTCATTTCACTAAAAGCCATCTTCGAGTGAGAAACCCTGTGTTTCTCACTTGCTCTGTGATCTGGGGCCTCTGTTTCCTCATCTAGCATGTGAGGGTATTGGATGGGATGAATGTGGATGCCCCCTTCAGCCCTGCCAGGCTCAGATTGCATCCTAACCCACGAGAGAGAGCGGGAGTCCTTCCTCTGGCCATGCCAGGCTGTGTGGGGGGTGGGCCTTCTCTGCGATGTGATAACACCCCCTCCCCCCCCCACCGTCCTGGCTGCACCCCACCCTGAGCCAGCCCCCAGGACACATCCAAGCCATAGTTTCCAGTAGGGAAGGGGAAAAGTGAACCTGGCCTGGTGGCGGTGACATTAGCCTTGTCGTCCCCACCGAACAGCTTTTAATTCGAATGTTTTGACCACTCGGCTGTTTCTCTCGCTCTCAGACAATACTAGCAATACACTTGTTTTTTCAAAACAGCTTAACTTAGGCACTTGCCACACATTTCTTTCAAATGATTGTAAAACATATGGGGCAGCAGGAGGCACGGATCACACTGCATATATTTAGGGCAGCTTTTGTTGCTTGTTTCTTTAATGGTTGAGCACTGGGGCATCAAGTTTGGGGAGCGCATGTTCAGATACTTGGTTTCCTCAGACTGCCTTGCACACCTGGAAGCTGCCCAGCCACCGGCCGCCTGGATAGAGTTTTGTGGGTGGTGGTCCCCGGCTGTGCAGCAGCGCCTCCAGGAGGTTCATATAGCTAGAACCCCCTCTGTACTGCGTTTTTGTTTGTTTGTTTTGTTTTTTGTTTTGTTGTCAAAGGATCCTCCAAGGAAGCCTAATAAAGCCTCCTTTTCCACTTTGTCAGCCTTGCTGTCGTGTGACTTGAAGGGACCGGTCTGCTCCGACCTCAGCTCTTTGCCTTATTAACGTCTGGTCGCCACCTAGTGGCCAAAGACTGTATCCACCAGCTACCCAGATGGAGGGCAAATCCTTTGGGCCACTTACTGTCCAACACCACCTTTGGGAATGAAAAGTAATGGCGGGAGCAAACTGTCCATAGGGTTAGAATCCACTGTAATGCCAGTCGGAAGATTCCGGAAGCACCCATGTAGTAGACTCTCATGCAGACCGAGAAACGCACTAGCCATCCCGAGGCAGAGGAGACAGGAGTGGACCCTGTGCCCAGGTGCCCAGGAGGGTTTCACTATAACTGCAATACCGGCAGCCTAGCGGCTGCCCTTGTTAAGTGAGCCTCTGCTAGGCAGCCCGCACCGAACCCTCGGGTCGAGGACAGAGGTAGAATGTGAGGGTTCTGTGCGGGGGTCCGTGGCCTTTGATATGGTCCACTGAAAAGCCAAACAGGTTTGTTGTTGCTTTTCGTTTGTTTTTGTTACTGTATTTTGTATTTTAAATACCTGTCAAGTGTTTTTGTGTTAGGAATAAAAAGTCATAAACTAGCCCCAACTTGGTTTCTTGAGGGATGTTCTGATTCCAAAGGAAACGGGTTGGAAATCTCAAGGGGTGCGTGGTCGGGTGATCAGGGAAGTGGACCGCTTGGATTTCCAGATGGTTCCTAGGGAAGATGGCCCTCCAGAAGTGTGGCTTGTGCAATGCCCAGGAAGTTCACACCCACCTGCTCCACCTCCCTTGATGTTGGCAATGGCTTGGAGCACCCGCTTCTCCGGAGGCAGCTGCTGGTGTGAACCAGTGCGGGATCTCTCTCCCATCCCAGGTTTCTAAGAGACAGTATCTGTAGCTAGCCTTAATTGACTGGGCAAGATGGTCCCTACGGTCCCTTCCAGCATTTCCAAATCTTGAACTCAAATCCTTTTCTCTTGGTGTGACCATGAAGCCTGGAGAATTCTGAGCAATAGGAAGCCAGGGCTTTCCCCAGCTCTGTGACAGGGTCAAACCAGGGAATGGCTAAACTTGTGAGGTTTGGGCATCCCCAGGGTTACTACTGTAGGGGGCATTATTTATTAGGAAGCTCAACAAGGTAACTACAGCCTGGGGTGTGTGAGTGCAAGGCCGTGTGTGTGTGTGTGTGTGTGTGTGTGTGTACACGTGAACTTGTGCACGTGCACGTCTGTCTGCGTGTGTACGTGTGGAATTACATTGATGCATTTCTTGAGAAAGGTGCAAGAATTTCACCTACACAGAGGGACACATCTGCTTTGTTATTTATAATAGAAAGCTAAATTTTAATTTTTTTAAAGGACACTGCTAATGATTGAGAATCGAGTTTTTAGTTTTGCTATTTTTTTTAATTGGTAGAGGATTTTTATATATTTTTTCCATTTTGTTGGGTTGTGTCCTTATTTATATGAATACTTTATCCGTCAGAGGCAAGAAAAAAGCCTTCTTTGCTTTTAATTATTGTGGTTGTCATCGTCCCTGTTTTATTTCTGATGTGATTTCTCTGTCTTACCTTCTAAATGAGAAAATGTTTTCCTGTATTTGTACATTGTCAGATTCTATAGTTTCATAGATAATTTAACCAAATTGCTCTATGTATTATTATTCCGTGAGTATAAAGTTCTATTTTAACGTCTGTAAATACTTCAAAACTGGCTTCTTTTCTCAAACTCCCCCGTGGAGATATTGTTTACATCACAAAAACTGTAGAATCTCTATGCTCATGTACTGTAAATAGTGAAGTGATCGGCTTATAAATAAACTTAACAAATACACTATGGAGATTAAAAAGAAAATATCACCTACAGCCCTGCCCGGGTGTGTTTTTATTGGTCCTATGTGCTCATTGAGGGGCACTCTGGCCATTATATGGAAAAGGCTTCTCATTCCAGTGTGACCTTGATCAAGGTCAAGGTGCGTGCTCTCCCCTATCCCACCCCACCCCCCTCCAAAATTCTCTGAGCTCGCATCTCTTGTTCTCACTGCATTTTCTGTGGTTCAGAACAAGCCTTGCATAATGCTCTTTTCGCAGCTTTTTGCCATGACTTGTAAGAACCAGTGCCGCTTTCTGAATGAGGACTCCTGGCTTTGGTATATCAAATTTCCCACATAAGCACATCCAATAAATGTACTAAAAGAAATACTCTGGCATGGTTTTGGACAAAAACACCAACGGGCACCACTACCAAACTGTCTAGTTAGAGGAGATGGGGCAGATTGGGTTGTGTGCCCTATTTGTGTGAATTTGAAACATTTTCCTTTGCTCACTCCCAGTGCGAAGTGGCATCTTCTCAGACATTCGTCTTGGACAATGTCCTTTCTTTCTTCAGCGAGCACCCTTGGGTTTAGCCTTTATTGCTGCAAAGCTGCTCTAACTTTATTTGTAAGCACTTTCAGTGTCAGGAAGCCCTGTGCTCCCAAAGGGCTGAAACATTGGTGAAGTTACATAAAGCAAACTATATTCAAATTGCTTATTATCTACATAGTTCTCATTGTTCAGGTGATTTATTTTCTCAATCTGGAAACTATTTGGATTCCTTCAATTGGAAGAGGACATAATTTTTCCTTCTCAGATGAAGGGGGATGTATCCATTTAGCAGCAGGGATTTCTGGCATGAATTGGTCCTTCTAGATGTAACTTGGGTGACTGATAGCTCAGTATCTGCTGCCCCTTTAGGAGATAGGCAATCCGGAGAGCAGGACTACATCCTTCCCTGCAGGGTGTCCTGCCTCATTAACCCATTAGCCAGGAATCCTGATGACTACACACAGCTCAGGAGGGAGCCCAGCCAGTCACAGGAATGGCCCCTTCCAAGTTGCCATCAGTGGTGTGAGAACTGGAGGCCTGCTTTGAGATCCATCTCTGTCACTTATGCCCCATGCAAACTTGACCAAGCCCCATCTGACCCCCAGTGTCCCTGACTGTGAAACAAGATCACTGGCTTAGATAAACTCAGAGGTCCTTTATGCTCTCAAAAAACTGGTATCAGAGGAAGATGGTGCTGGGGAAAAGGTTACACATGGGGAGTCTTGTGTCTGGCTTTTTGGCCCTGCTCCACCACTTACCAGCTGGGTGTCTGGGTAGGTTTCGTAATGTCTCTTAGTCTCCTCCTTGTGCCATCGGTGGGGCTAGAAGCAGGTTCTACTCATAGGATTGCTGTGAGGATGATAGCAGACGGTGCACAGTGCCCGGGACATTGTAGGCCCTAACATCATGCCTGCTGAGGGACACTCTGGCCATTAAGTGTTAATCAACATCAAGTGTAATCCTCACGCACGGCCTCACCTGGTGCCGCTGTAGCTCTGAGAAGATGGCAAGGACTGATGAGGGAGGCTGAGGATTAGCCAGAGTGGGACCTGCCCAGGGACTCAGAAATAGTGGCAGGAGCAGGCCCGGTTGCACCAATGCTGGCATGTTCCTGGGTGGGATTTTTTTTCTCCTTTTCTCTGCCACTTAACCACTGCACGTGATGTGCTTCCAGGCAGGCCTCTGCTTAAAAGCCTACCGTTCTGAGACTGCCTGTTTTAGGACGGACAGGGAGTCCTGGGAGTTCAGAAATGAGGGGCTCAGACACAGCCCCCTGCTGGTACCGTGATCTGCAGATATGAGCATGTGGGCCAGGAGCTGTGAGTGGTCCACGGTGGAAGGCAGGGCATGAGTGCCATGGGCACTGTGTTCTCCATGATCTTGGGCATCTGTTCCTGGAGGGAAGCCAAGGAACTGTCCCATGAACTTGGTGCAGGCTGTGCCCTTGCTGCTGTTCCTTCAGGGTCCTCATTTATATACAAAGGGAGCTTAGACTAAATCCATGGTTTACGAACTGTGGAGATGACGTAATCCTTCTCTTTGAAGCAGTTTTTTAATCATATATTGGCTTCTGCATAGCATTCCATTCAGGAAGAAGAGAAGTTCTAGCATGAACATCCACACATGGGAGAACAGGGGACAGAGGAACAAGTTCCAGACCCTCTAAGCAAATATATAAATCCAGTATGCAGGACGATGATCCTGCTTCCCCAAGGTCACGAGCAAAGATAAAGAGGGAGCACTGCTGTAGATTCAGGAGGCTTAAACACACAGCTAAAAGTGTGAAACTTGTTTGCATCTGATTCAGGCAAACCAACTATGAGACATGTTTGTCACATGTGACAATGATGTGGTTATTTCTTTAAAGATGTGAAATGGAAGAGCAAAATGATATGTCTGAATGTGCTTTTAAATGCTTCAGCTAAGAAAAAAGTGAAAAAATGTAAAAGGATGGATAAAGCAAATGAGGTAAGATCTTGATATTGTAATCTGGGCAGTGGGTAGTTGGGGATTCCTGATAGAATTTTCTACTTTTGAGAATGATGGAAAATTTTTTTATAATAAAACATTAAAACAACAAAAATGATTCTGAACAAGCCGATGAAGCTGGCATTGATTAAATGTTTATTTGATGTCTATGGAAGTTAGAATGTTGATTTTAGCTCAATAAAAAGTTCTTGAGGCTACAAGTTCGAAGCCACTAGGTAAGAGGCAAGCTCCCTTCTCCTGTAGCTTTTCATTCTATAACTCATTTGCTTCTGAAGAAGTGTGTGGTTCTCCACTGGCTTAGGTATCTCTTCCCATGAAGGCTGGTGCTATTCTGCTCAGTGAGCTCCATCCAGGCTACTGGATGCAGCAGGACTTGGATGCAGGAGCGCCCCCTACTGGACCAGGGCTCCCACCAGACTGGTTCCCGGAGGTTACTGCAGTGGAACAGGAACGAACACGCTAAGTAAGAGGTGTCTGTCCAACCGGCAGTGGACCAAGAATTGCAAACTCAGGGGCTTTCAGAGGCCAACAGATAACCAAACGTGTAGAAGGCAAGTCAAGTGAAGGAGAATGAAAAAGTAAGAAGATTTCTTTACACTAAGAAAAATAGCACAATCAGATGATAAACAGCAACCAACAGTTGACACCAATGTCTGAGAGACAACAGAGAGTGGTAGAGACTGTGGCAAACTGGAGAGGGCCTTAATTCTTCTAAAGGGAGAAGTTGCCACTCAACTCCAACTATTTGTAATGCACATTTGCAGGCTGGTGTGGTGGGACCTTGATTTTTTTTAAAAAGAAATGCTGGAAATATAGATTTTTTTAAATCTGAAATATTGCGATATTGTGCATTTAAAAAGAAAAAAACAAAACAGGCCTCCCTGGTGGTGCAGGGGGTTGAACACAGCACTGTGGGGCGGTTCGCAGCCTCCGCAGCACGGGTTCAATACCCTGGCCGGCCGGGGTGAGGCCCACATGGTGCAGCAGACCTCTCCTGACTCGCTCGCTGCTCCCCTCAGTAGTGTTGTTTTGGTCAGTCTGCCTGTTCTCCTGTTCTGTTCCCTGCTCTGTCTCTGGTGAATCCTCTCACATATCTCTCCCCCCGACCCCACATCTCTGGCCTGTGCCCCAGCTCTTGTATGCAAAAATAAATAAATCTTGGGCCTCCCTGGTGGCGCACGAGGTTAAGGCGAAACCTGTGAAGCAGTCCACAGCCTCTGCAGCATGGATTTGATCCCTGGCCAGCCGAGGGGCAGCCCACATGGCACAGCAGACCTCTCCTAACTCACCCGCTGCTCCCCTCAGCAGTGTATTTCAGTCAGTCTGCCTGTTCTGTTCCCCGCTCTGTCTCTGGTGAATCCTCTCACCCCCACACCTCTGGCCTGTCCCCCAGCTCTTGTATGCATAAATAAATAAATATTTAAAAATAAATAAATAAATCTTGCCCATTTAAAAAAAAAGAGAGAACAAATGAAATTTAGCTGTAGGCCTTAAATTTACAGAGACCTGCCACTAGCCCCAATGACAGTTTGAGTAAATTAGAAAAAGATGCTTCTTCCTCGGGACATTTTCCAGAAAATTGTAACAATGAGTGACACAATCTACGATGACTATAATATATGGGGTACCTCCTAGAATTGCACAAAGCACAACTTGCAAAACCATAAATGGTGGCCCCACATCTGCAGCTGCCAGCTGAGAATCACCCCCTGTGCTGCAAGAGCAGAGCGGAATTGGAGGCCTGGCTGTGTGTGTGTTAAGAACCATGTGGAGGGGGCTGGTGTGCAGAGGACAGTTAGGGTGGAGCAGGGACTGTGAAGGAACCAGAGCCGCACAAGCAGCAAAAAAAAATTGTTTGGGAGAGACGGTGCATGCTGTCAATGGAGAAGAAGATGAAACAAACCAAAAAATCCTACTGATTCCTGAAGGCGGGACTATGGTCACTTGGTGGAGGTTTAACAAGGAAAACTATTCAGTTCAAACAAAGACTTTCCAATATAATGGGACTGTTAGGGGGAAAGGATGTCCTGAGCTGATTCCATACAGGCTTTGTGGACTCCACCCCCACCCCAGGCCAAAGCCATCAAGACACTGGAAATGACAAATCCCATCATCACCAAAGGGAGGGTTGCTGGGACCTGAGGGCGGAGTTAAGCTGCCAGGTTTTGGTATAAAACCAGACACATGGACCTTAGGGGGCTCTTGGCTTCACGGCTCTTGGCTCTCCGCCAGCTCTCAGCCTGCCATTGGGATTCCAGGTCGGCGGAACGGGTAGGACGCATGTAAGACTTTATCTCCCTCTTTTCTCCCTAAGTTGTACATTTCCTCATTTCCCCTTCCCTTGTAAATAAACCTTTTATTAACCTTTCGTGTGTGCCTGCAGTGGAGTATTCATAAGTCCCTTTTAAGCGCGCGGGTGAGGACCCACAGCCAGGAACCCGTTTTCTATCAGGGCTGCCCCGTAACAGGCTGAGCGCGGCTGTCATGTAAGGAAGTGAGCCTGTTATAGGACAGGGAGAGGGGCAGCCCAAGCCCCGCAAACGCCCTCTGTTACTGGTGGTATGAGAGCAAACTCACGTGCTCATATAATACGGAGACTCATTGTGGTATAGGTAGGATGCAAACATCAGACACAAGTCTGGAATTTTGGCCTCTATTAATTCCTTCCAAGCAGTAAGGACTTGGCCATGACATGTCACTTCTGTGAGCCCCAGCACCCCCATAAGTAGAACTGGAGTGATAACTGAGTGATAACGGGTGATCATGGGGAAGACTGAATGAGACCACCTGTGCAGCCCTGAGGCCAAGCCAGGCACTCAGCAGGGGCGGATAGGGGCTTCCCCACTCCCCTTCTGTAGACCTTGCTTGGCTGCCTGCTGTTTCTGCTTTTCCTCCTCCAGCGTCTTCATCCTCTCGTCATACTCGTCTGCCAGCGCCTTCCACTCCTTGCGGTTGTTGGTGATCCCGTCCAGCATGGGAGTGATCTCCTCATGGAAGCGGGAGAATTCCTGGAAGAGAGAATGCTGGAGCCAGGGCCAAGGCCCAGGGTCTGGGCTCAAGGGGAGGTCGGGTGGGAATGAGCTGCCTTGGGCACACGCAGGCTCAGCTTCCGGTCCCGCAGAGCTGGCTGATGCTGTCAAGCCTGTCAGCAAGGGCCCATCCCCCTCCTGCTTAAAATCCTGCTGTGGCTCCCTTTCAAGATGAAATGCAAACTCCTTCATTTGGCTTTCAAATCGCTCCTGAGCCCTCCTCCTTCACCCTTTGAACCCTGGACTTGCAGTTCCTGGAGGGTGTCTTCCCTCTATGGGAAGAATACACACTCTTTCTTCCCTTTGTTGGAAACGTCTAGCTTCCCCTCTTTGCCCTGCAGCCTCCACGAAAATGTCACTTCCTCGGTAAGTCAAGTTCCCTATCAGAAGCTCTGAAGCCAGAAGCCCCTAGCCCACGTGTCTCTCCACAGTAAAGACTCCCCAGTGCCTGCCTCCCCCAGGGGCTGTGAACTTGGAGAGGCAGGGGCCTATCTTCTTGGTCGCTGGGTGGCCTGGACTAGCAAGGGTCTGGGCCCAGGGAGGCTGAGTGAAATGAAGATATTATGGAGAGGATTTTTAAGGTCTCTTAACTTGGGGGGAAAAAAACAATGCCTTTGTTTTATATTCATGAAACTATCTCCTTTGATCTGCAGAAATTCCTACGAGGTAAGAAAACAAGATTCATTACTCTGAGATTTTTAGGTGAAGAAACCGAGATGCAGGGCCTCCCTGGTGGCATAAGGGGTTAAGACACAACCTAGGAAGCTATTTGCACTACCCACATGGGGCAGCAGACCTCTCCTGCCTCACCTGCTGCTCCCCTCAGCAGTGTATTTCAGTCAATCCACCTGTTCTGTTCCCCACTCTGTCTCTGGTGAATCCTCTCACCCCACCCCCACACCTCTGGCCTGTACCCCAGTACTTGTATTCATAAATAAGTAAATCTTAAAAAAAAACCAACAAAACACCGAGATGCAAATAATGGAATGGATTTGCCTGAGGTAAGAAGGACCTGGCTTCCCACCCAGGCCCTGCTGCTGGCTGTGTGACCTTGGGCAGGCCCCCCCAGAGTTGGTGTCAGCCTAGCAGTGAGGGCATATGACCCTGCCACACTGGGTTGTTGTGAGCCAAGTTGGGTGCTTAGCCACAGTCTTGTTCAGTATAACTTCTTATGATAGTGGGGACCAGTGGCCCCTGCCCTGTGGCTCCAGGGACCCCCGCTAGTCCGTATCTTACTGAGACACACTTGTCCCTCTGGGAGCCTTGCTCTCCTTCCCAGCAGGAGGCTTCAGCTGGCACTGCAGAGAGAGCGCCAGGCCAGGGCTCAGAAGCCACACTCAATCCTGTCTCATGACCGATGCCAGGTACCCTGGCCCTGTCTTTTCTCATCCCTCATCTCTGCTCACATGTATCATGGCCAAAATCAAAAGAACAAATCCATGGATGGATTGGGGAGTGGTGGGGTTCTAACTTTAAGCAAGAGCTTGAAGAGAAATTTCAGATTCTCTTTTGAGTGGGGTTGGGATACTAGAGCATGTTTGTACCCATCACGGAAGCTAGGAGGCAAAAGTCTTCATACTTTCTTCCCTGTTGAAACCACGCTTTGCTGTTTGTCCGCAGCTGTTTACTGAGCAATGTGGGGGTGAGACCCTCCAGGCCCTGCCCTGCGTGTGCAATCACCCCAGACACTGTATGGCCGTCTGGGCAGCAGTAGCCATTGGTGACGAGAAGAGCTTTGTAAAGTTGAAGTGACCCACAGGTCACTTCCAGGGGTCTCATTCCTGATGTCATCGAAGTCAGCTTGTTGGGCCTGAGGAAGCAAAGGGCCTACCTTGTACACGAAGGTGCAGACGAAGTCTATGAAACCGACCTGAAGCTTGGGGAGCTCATCTGCCTTGTTTCTGTCCATCATGGGCTGCATGGGGGAAGAGGAAGTTCACTGCTCTGGGCTCTCTCCACGCCCCCCCTCCCACCCCCGGTGTGTGTGACAAAGGGAGACCCACTGTACCTGGGAAACACTGTCACTTTAAAAAAAAAAAAAAAAAGATAACCTGAAACTCATCACAGGTCCAAACCTGACTAGCAGCTTGCAGGAAATACTGGCAGAGAAGGAGATGTTAAATGACACCACCTCGAGGGGCAATTAACCAAATCCACAACAAAATACCTACCACCTTCAACAAATAAGTGGCATGGGGATTAAAAAGAGAGGAGGAGGAGGAGACTGCCACAGATTGACAGAGCTACAGTAACTGTAATAGACCTTGTGGCTCCTGGTTTTCTGAAGGTGGGGGGCCCTCAGCTGAGCAGCAGCAGCAGCAGCAGCAGCAGCGGGGACTGCGCCATGGTAACCGACTTTAGCAGCCGAGCCTGGCATAGCCCTGCTTGGGTTTAGGAAAAAAGAAAAAAGAAACCCGTGACAGTTTTGGAAACACACGGATCAGGTTTGAACCTGGCCAGCCATCCAGATACAGCAAGGTTCACCTGCCCGTCTCCAGTGTGAGAAGGCGCGGGGCAGGTTGGACGCACTACTGGCATTTAGGTTTTGAATCCTGAGCTGGTTTTGAAAATGGATCAAAAAGAACAAAAGAAAAGGAAAAAGAAATGGATCAAACAGATCTGAGCTCCCACTGATTGGAGAGGAGTTGCTCGGGAAGGCTTGGAGCCAGCTTGAGAAGAGAGCCTGGCTCCTTTTGGGAAGGCTTCCGTCGAGAAGGTTTGACTCAGTTTAGAAGAAGCTTCAGAAGGAGACTTGACTTCCGCTTCAGGAGGAGACAGACTTAAGCTGTAGGGACACTGCGGGGGGGCGACCTCAGTACACCTGTGACTGTCCCACTGCTTACCCATGCGCCCCAGCTCCAGGTTCTTATCTGAGGCCATCTTGCCTGAGCAGCTTTGGGTTTGAACTACTGGACAATGGGAACACTATCAGGGGTAGGACAGTGGCCATGGATGGCCTTAAGAACATTTTCCTTTCCTCCAATCTCCCTTTGTATAAAAACCCTGTTGTTGAACCTTGAGATTGAGCCAGATCTGGCAATTGTGAGCACATGGATGAAGAACCCCCAAACTGTATACCCCACCTTTACACACTTTCATAACCAAAGGAACCTGGGTCCTTGATTGGATCCTGATTTGAACAAATCAACTGACTTATTTTTATTACTCAATCAGGGAAAATAAACTGAGATTGGGAATTAGAGGTAAAGAATTATTGGTAATTTTGTGAGTGTGACAATGGCATTGTGGTTGTGTATGTTTTGAGTTACTAGCTCTTAGACATACTAGTGTATTTATGGGAGAAATGATGTTGGGGACTTTCTAATACTTCAGCTACCAACACTGAAAAATGCATGGCTGAGGGAGAAGGGGTTAATAAAACAAGGGTGCAAGACTATATATTTTGAACCTGGCTGTGTGGCACATGGCGTACATTAAGTATTATCTATGGTGGAAGCTTAGAGTAGAAAATTTAGGATGGAAGTTTCACAAGGCCAGAAACTAGAGGCGGGCATAGAAATAATTAACGAGTTATTAACCTGGCTAGGAAAGACCTGTGGGCACAGAGTGGAGCTGGGGACATGAAGAATTGTTGGCTGTTAAAAAGAAACACCAGTCCTTACAGATTAACCCAACCAGACCTTAGAAGTGATAGATTCCACAACAGATGAAATTCCACAAAGGAATGAACTCTCCAAAAGGACACTATTTACAAACAACTCCAGCCCTGGCCAAATGCAGACTGTGTCCCAACACTGCCCACCTGAGTCTCTGCAGCTGGCACTTTTTCCTTTGTCTTTTTCCTAATAAACCTGCAGGCTTTGCCTTTTTGTGTTTATGCAAGTGCCTTTGCTGTAGTAAACTCACCTCGTGTTGCTGAATGGGAAACTGCAGAAACTTTTCTCAGAGGAAACCCAAGGACCCCACTCATATACTGGACCCTAGCATCTGAACCCCATCATCTACACTTAAAAGTGTCAAAAAAAGAAAAAAGATACAAATCTGCAGGCCCTTGCTGTTCAAGTTAGACTTGCTTGCCCTTCACAGTCCTCCACTCTTCCTTGGCCCCTGCCTACACCCCATCTTTGCAAACTCAAGTTTAACCCATCCATATATCCATGATTCTGCTCCAGAAAGTTCTCTCCCTTTTACGCCTCTGGCCTAGCCCCACCTTGGCTTGGGGAATTGGTGACCTCTCTTAAGTAGTGTCATGTGGGGAACTGGCTGAGTGTTGAATGTCAACATCAATAGGTTTTCCACTTGCGCACTCTGTGCTCTAGGAACAAGGCCAGGAGAGATGGCCTTCTAGGCTATGGAAACTAAAGGGAAATCAATGCCATTTTTCAATCCACTTAGCTAAGTGAGCTAAGGACACGTATATGAAAGCAGGGCCTCAAACTTTAGGAGGACTTATATTCAGGAAAGGCACATGTTGCTGGGTTTCTGCTTAGGTATGTTTAGGTTGGGGCCTGTGAATTTGTTCTCATATGTTCTCAAGTAATAAGGCTGAGAGTGGTCCAGAGACCACACTTTGAGAACCACAGGAAAAGGTCAGCTCTGTGTCAGGTCACACATATCTGTTGGGGGCACAGCTCTCCATCAGGCTGAGATAGCACATGCCCACATCAGGCCCATGTCTTCTCACTACTCACAATGGGGTTCTGTTGTAGCACCGTGCGCTCCAGGTCACCTTGCTCCCAGAATTCAGCAGCAACCAGCTGAGCCACCTGCAACAGGCAACCCCCATCCCCCCAGAGTCAAGTCCTAGTCCACAATCTTCCTACCCACCTTGGGTTCCAGCTCAGCAAAAACTTAACCTCCCTCTACCCCATTTGTTGTCATGGTGTGGGAGGCCCTAAAGAGGGGTCCCTGTCTTGGCAGAGGATGGAGCAAAGGCGAGCTGACTCTGAACTGGGAGAACCCCAGTCATGTCAGCATCTGTCACCAAGATCAGGACCCCCTCCAGTGTCACCAGGGGCGTTCGCTTACCTTGCTCTGCACCTCCCAGGGCTTGGTGATGGCTGAGAGATCACAGGCAGTCATCATCATGGCCCTGTGGACAAGGACACTGTCATGGTGCAGAGTCACTGACTGTGGCTTAACTCCACCTCTCTCCCTTCTCAGCACCCTGTGGCACGGAGGGTTCACTTCCCACTGCATCTGGAGGTCAGGCTTTGAAGTGAGACAGAGACTGAAATCCTTCCAGGAGGTTGATATTGGACAATTGAAACTGAAGTGTCGGTTTCCTTGTTTGTGTAATAACAGGTCTTCCCTCACAGTGTGGGTGCAAATTAAATGAGATAGTGGTGTAAATATCTTCGCATGGCCCGAGAAGATGCACAAGAAATATTGGTGATTATTATGAACATGTTCTGGATTTTTATTATGTGCCACATACTGCTCTAGACATTTGATTATAATTTATAAACATTAATTTCACTTCAGTCTCATCATGTCTGCAGAGTTCTTTTCTTCTGTCTAGAGTAGAATAATGTTTGTCAACCTTCCCATCCTCTCACTCCACTACCAAAAAGCCTTTTAGGCAACTTTCTATAGTCAGCCCACCAGGAAATTCTATACCACAGACATGCTGCTGATCTGTTTGGAAGGTCACAGGCCATTGTAATATCCAAGATGTCTCACTTCCCCCCCAAGAATGGCTTGTTGCCCCATTGGGGGTAACATCACTTCCATAACATCAAAATGCTTGGTGTAGGGAGAAGTATGTATTTCCCACACCATCCCCACCCACAAGGTCCCCCATTTCCCTCGGTCACTATAAGGAAGCCTGGATTAAGAAGTAGAGGATCTGGGGCCTCCCTGGTGGTGCAAGGGGTTAAGATACAACCTATGAAGCTGTCTGCAGCCGCTATAGCATGAGTTCGATCCCCGGCCAGGGAGGTGACCCACATGGCGCAGCAGACCTCTCCTGTCTGGCCTGCTGCTCCCCTCAGCAGTGTATTTTGGTCGATTTGCCTGTTCTGCTCCCCACTCTGTCTCTGGTGAATCCTCTCACCCCCTGCACCTCTGGCCCATACCCCAGTCCTTGTATGCATAAATAAATAAATAAATAAATCTTTAAAAACAAAAAAAAAAAAAGAAGGAGAGGAAATGGGGGACCTTGTGGGTGGGGATGGTGTGGGAAATACATCTGTAGAGGTTTGCGCCTATAACTCCAAAAATAAATACAATGATGTAAACCAACTTTCCATCAATAAATAAACAAACAAGTAAATAAAAAGAAGTAGAGCAACTATAGGGGAAAGAAAGGATTAAGAGATAAACTCTTCAAGGAGCTTTATAGTAATTGAGAAGTAAGTCAGGTGTGATTACATAAGTAGGTGCAATGAAAGACAGAAAGGAACATGGACCAAGAATTGGCACAAGAAAGGGAATTTGAGGTTTTAAGAGACAGGGCGCCATGGCTTGAATGTCTGGGATGGAAGTCCAGGGCCACTTGGGGTAGACATTAAATTCCATGCTGGGGCACATAGACTGGATCAAATAGGCAGCTGAGAGAGAGTGCATGTAGGTTAGGGCCCGGTCCTGACCTCTTCGGGGCTGTGCTGCAGGAAGGTGGGATGAGCAGGCAGGGGAGGGAGGAAGGAAGGAGGAGACCACAGAGGGCCTGACCGGAGGGCCTGACCATGGCTGCTGGGAGCGCCCAGGGCTAGCAAGACTTGGCAAGACCCAAGGCAGAGGACAGTGGGTAAGGCCGGGTCTCTGAGGCTGCCTTGCTCCTTGCATGATTTTACAATTTAGCAAGCTGTATCAGACATTGGTTCCATAAGCTGGTCTGGAGGCCTTTAAGAGTTACTCATAAAATATAGGCATGTTTAAAAATTAAGTAAACAGGGGGTGGCGCAAGGGGTTAAGCAATTCACTATGAGTCAGTCTGTAGCCTCTGCAGCACAAGTTTGATACCCGGCCCACCAGGGAGCAACCCACATGGCGCAACAAACCTCTCCTATCTCGACCGCTGCTCCCCTCAGCAGTGTATTTCAGTCAATTTGCCTGTTCTGCTCCCTACTCTGTCTCTGGTGAATCCTTTCACCCTCTGCACCTCTGGCCTGTACCCCAGCTCTTGTATGCATAAATGAATAAATCTTTAAAAAAAAAATTAAGTAAACACACAACAATTCACATGATCCTTTAGTAAATAAGTTTCAAAACTGCATGTGTTTCTTAGTAACATCTTTATGCTTTATCATAACTTCAGAGTAAGTGCAGGATGCTTGTTACATCTTGTATGCTCACTGTCAAATGGATTAAGCAAATGAAAGCTCAGCTGTTCATTCAGAGCCAAGGGCTCCTGTTCCCTGCCAGTGTCCACACCATAAGTGTGCGGGTGTGACTTCAGGAGAGCACTGGTGTTTACTCTCCTCTGTTTTATAGACAGAGATAGTGTGAGTGCACTGAATGGGGTGGAGGACAGGGCCTTGGAAAATCCACAGCCGCATGCCCAGAAGCCGGGCACTCCACTGCCTTCATGCCGCACTGGGCGGAGGTACCAGGCAGGCTTTGGGGATCCAGAGAGGCCTGCAGCAAAAAAAAACCCCCAAAAAACAGAAAACAGTCCCTTTCATCACAATCAGCTACGGGGCAGAAAGGAGCGAGGGCACACCTCATTTTATTGTAAGCCATTTTTCACAAATGAAAGGGGTGTGGCAACCCCGCTACAAGCAATTGCACCCTTTCCCCAACATCATGTCCTTCCCGTCCCTTATCACATTTTGGTAACTCTCATAATATTACACACTTTTTCATTATTATTTTATTTGTTATGGTGACCTGTGATCAGTGATCTTTGATTTACTGTTACAATTGTTTTGGGGTGCCACAAACTGCGCCCATACAACATGGCAAACAATTGATAAATTGGCGGTGTGTTCTGACCTATCCATCCACCAGTGGTTCCCTGCTTCTCTCCCTCTCCTGAGACCTAGGGAGGTGGTCTGGAGGCCTTTAAGAGTTGTTCATAAAATATACGCAGGTTTAAATATTAAGTAAACAGGGTCTCCCTGGTGGCACCAGGGGTTAAGCAGCACACTATGAGGCAGTCCGCAGCCTCTGCAGCACGAGTTTGATCCCAGGCCCACCAGGGAGCAACCAGACAGTGGTTCCCTGTCTCTCTCCCCCTCCCTGAGACAAAACAGTATTAAAATTAGGCCCCTCGTAGCCCTGCAGTGGCCTCTCAGTGTTCAAGTGAAAGTAAGAGTCACATGTTTCTCCCTTTAGATCAGAAGCTAGAAATGATTAAGCTTAGTGAGGAAGCAGGTCCAAAGCTGTGATCGGCTGGAAGCTAGGTCCATTGTGCCAAGTCAGCCAAGTTGAGAATGCAAAGGAAAAGTTCTTGAAGGAAATGAAAAGCGCTTCTCTGGTGAACACATGAAAAACAAGAAAGGAAAACCACCTTGTTGTTAATGTGGAAAAAGTTGTAGTACTTTGGATAGAAAATTAGAACAGCCGTAGTCGAAAAGCCTAATCCAGAGCAAAGACCTAACTCTTCAGTGCTAGGAGTGGCTGGGAAGCTGTGGAGAAAATGTATACTGCTAGCAGTGATTTGTTCATGAGGTTTAACGAAATTGATTCCACAACGTGAGAGCGCAAGGTGAAGCTAAGGTAACTGATGAAGGTGGTCACACTTAGCTACAGATTTTCATGGTAGATGAAACAACCGTCATTAGAAGAAGATGTCATCGAGGATTATCATAGCTGTGAAGTCAATGCATGGCTTCAAAGCTTCAAAAGACAGGTTTTGACGGGGGCTAATGTGGCTGGCGACTTGAAGTTGAGGCCAATGCTCATTTAACACCTGAAAATCCTAAGGTCCATAAGAAGGATGCTAAATCTACTCTGTTCTTTTGTAAAATGAGATGATCATATGAGGTTGGTTCATATAAAGTTCTGATTTTGTGTTGAAAGCAGTTGAAAGTCAGCAATTTCAGAAAGCTCAGTGTAATACACCCATCCTAAGAGCTATTGTGACCATTGCATAAGATGATTTTTTTAAGTGTGTCCATTGTCCTCATCTTCACCGCATCAGCCACTTGTTCAGCCACCTGCTTGTATAGAGAGCAGCTCAGCTGACCTGGGCAAGCTGAGCTCCTGTCCCCTGACCCTTCCTCAAGACAAATCTCTCTTCTGCTGGCTGGGAGGCTCAATGGCAGTCCTTCCTGACTCTTTCCTGGCTATCTCTTAAAAGTATCCCAGCCAGGGGCCTCCTTGGTGGCGCAAGAGGTTAAGACACAACCTATGAAGCTATCTTCAGCCACTGCAGCACAAGTTTGATCCCTGGCTAGGGAGGTGACTCACATGGCACAGCAGACCTCTCCTGACTCGCCTGCTGCTACCCTCAGCAGTGTGTTTCAGTCAATCTTCCTGTTCTGTTTCCCACTCTGGTCTGGTGAACCCTCTTATCCCCCTCCCCACACCTCTGGCCTGCACCCCAGTTCTTGTATGTATAAATAAATGAATCCCCCCCCCAAAAAAAAAGTATCCCAGCCAACCTGGGAAAACATTTTGACACTCTCTGGAGGGTATGGCCTGGGGTATGGCCTGGGATTGGGGGGAAGGGGTTAAAGACAGTGCTATCAAGCTATCACCAGCCACTGCAGCACAAGTTTGATCCCCAGATCTCTGACTGGCCAGGGAGCAACCCACATGGCATAGCAGACCTCTCCAGTCTCGCCTGCTGCTCCCCTCAGCAGTGTCTTTCAGTCACTCTGCCTGTTCTGCTCCCCACTCTGTCTCTGGTGAATCCTCTTACCACTCCCTCCTACACCTCTGGCTTACACCCCAGTTCTTGTATGCATAAATAAATAAATATAAAAACAATATAAAAATAATCTTTAAAAATAAATTTGAGAAAGCTATGGATGTGCATAAGAAGGGTGGGGATGTTGACGGTCCCCTAATGCCTGTATAAATCACATTGTCTCTCTGTACCTAACTCCCCTTACTTGAAAAATACTAGCCCAGCAGTTGGCAATTTTTTCCGTGAAAGGCCAGTTAGTAAATATTCAAGGTTTTGCGGACCTTGAATATGTATTA